AAGAGACCCGAAACAACGGAGAAGTTGTTTATGGTGTATATCTTAGTCCTTATTCACTTCATGTTGTATGTTTGACAAACTTTCATGTTTAAGGTATAAAACCCTATGCCTTATTTTCGTTGCTAGTTGAACTTTAATTTTTGCTAGATTGTATGGTTCAAGATCATAAGTTATGTGAATAACACACTTCGCTCATATAACCTTTAACGGTCTAGGCACTGATTAGGTCCACATGTTTGACATAAAGAGTCCACGTGACCTGGCTTGGCTTGTCTAAGTTATCAAACATACTGAAGCCTATTACGTGAAAACTCAACAAAGATGAACTATACCGAAGATAAAATTGTGAGATTATTGACATTCCTAAAACCACAAACTTCCCTTCTTGTTTTCTTTTCACTTCAGAGTTTATCTAAGAGTTAATAAATAAGAACATTCATTTTCAAAATCACTTGAGAAATTAGATCATTGAATGAGTCACTGATTTTCTTCGAATGTTACAACCTTGAAGCATTTCCAATATGAATATCATCAATAAGGTGTACTTGTGTGCGATTCCACTTTACTTATTATGACTTTTATTCTTCTCTAAGTTTTTGAAGTTTTAGAATTCTTGAAACAGATACATTTATAAAAAAAATGTAAAAGAGGTCGTGATAATAACATGTTGCAACCCAGTTAAATGTGCCTAAAACTCGCTGCCCCGATTTTAGTCTTAAAACCAACCAAAGTTAGATATCATGATGATATCACATGACAAAAGGGTCGTGAAATATATTTTAAACAGATATTAGACTATGGTTATTGGCATAAATGTTCTTCAATATATTTTCTTACTTACAAACACGATAATGATTCTACCAATCCGTACATTCTATAGGCTTCTTATAATATTGGTATTATGTAAACACCGCCCACTTAACTGTATATCTGAGGTCATTTAACACACTGAGTTTGATCTTACTTATAGTATATCGTTATACATATATAGTTAGTAGACAGCGTTTAATATGAAATTTTACATATAGAATAAAACCAAGAGTTCAATAACGGTCCTTTAAGAATACCAATTGTTACAAAATCAAAGTTTGACCTTTAAAATAGACACCTCGGTATCTATATTTGAGAAAGGAAGAAAAACTAATCTTAGACAAAAGGCCAAGACTCCGAAATGTTTAGTTTTATGAAGAAGCGCTTTATGGTTAATAGTGTCAAAAATCGTGCTTTTGTTAAGATTTTAGGACACTAGTAAGTCTACCTATATCCGTATTGTTTAATCACTGTTCAACCAAAGTTTGCGACGACTCTGTATGGAAGTTCAGACATTACTAAAACTGATTTATCACTCAATAGATACTTGTGAATATGAAGTACAGGAATAGGTGTGTATAGGTCATTCTTTACTACTGGAAATGTACACGTAATAAATGATTTTAAACTGCAAACATGTTGCTCAGTAACAACGTTGCCTGTAATTCATCAAGGCTTTACCGATTGAGCAATGTAGACGATGGTTTTTTGCCGTCGTTTAACTTTATTTGATTATTTGAGGAATAATATGTTTGTCACTGATTTCTTAATTAAATAGTGGATATTTTCATTATAATAGGAAAAAATAAGATAATGTTACCAATTTTGCGTCCTCGATACTCCAGATGTTACGATCACTTTCGGTCTCTGCATCCTTGAAACATAAACCGTCAAAATCAAAGACAATATTGAACTGGCCACTTTTGTTGGACTCCTTCGAATATTACAAAGAAGCAACTCCCAACTGTAAAGTTTGTACAGCAAACCGTTATGTGACCTCGAGATTCGTTAGATGTACATCAAAGGATCAAACTAGTCTTTTCATCAACAACGCGTCGCACATGGAACCATCGATTTTGTCATGAAATGTTCCTGGGTTGTAGAATTCGATAGTAAACGTAATCCCTGGAGTATCGGGGATGCCACTTTTGAAGTGAATTAACTATTTATTGGGTGTTACTAGATAAGTAGAAAATAACAGTATAGTAATTCCAGCTGCAATACAGTATAGTGATACCATGATATTTCCCTAAGGTACTGCATTGGAAATAGAATGAACTAACAAGATTGTTTATAAGCATGTTTAACATGATGATACCAGCTTTTGTTGTCTTTGTAAATAATGGATATTCTATTATTGCAGGTTTTAATTGTATTTAAAGGAATATTGTCACCCTAAAGCTTCGCACTCGAGGGACTTTCACTTCCCTGTTACTCTATCAAATAATCCCTTGGACGATATTAGTTTGTTTTCCGACTTCTTAAAACACGACATTTTATGTGATTTTCATGCATGACTATTAAGGCATTGACAATACAAAACTACTGAACCTCAAATTTGGCATACTGAGTTTTTTTGGTGTTATTTTACATCCAAATCTAACAATATACATGTACTGATTTTCATAGCTTATATTCGAAAAAAAGGATATATTTAATGCTTACGAGCATTTAATATAATTTTGTGTGTATATAAAACTTAATGAAAAAAAACTGATTTTGGTAAAATAGGTCGACAGATGTGTCCAGGCTCTGGTGAAAACTTTATCCAACTCAATTTTACCTGAAAAGTAAAACAATGGACAAGTCCGTCATTCTGAAGAACACAAAGTTTTATTTTTGTAAAGGTTCTATCCAATTATCAAATGATCAACATACAATAAACGTTTTCATAAACTTAATTTGAAGTTAAACATTTATTGAAATATATATTCCCCCAACTGTACTGTGGACGGAATTAAGATTTTTTTTTTGTAAATTTAGAATATGCTTCCCACTGTTATGCGATTCCTCGTAATTAAAACGAATATCTTATGGTGGTAATTCCAGCCAAGATATTCAGCAATCAGATGAAAAATGATAGCCTGATCTTGATCAACATCTATTTAACTAATTCAGGAAAGCAGTTCTGCTCAGAATAACATGTACATAAACAATTCAATGAGCATTTCTTCCTGATTTTGTTGAAATAAAACTTGCATAAATCTGGATCTTCTTCAATTTGAGCTAAACGCAAGAATAACTCAAATTCAGTCCCGCAGGCCAAATTTAAAGACTCTTAAATTCTGATGTAATTTAAGCAAAATCTTTCATTAAAAATATAATTACTCAATGAATTTATGTAAACATAGAAATATCAATGTTTGTAAATCTTTTATTTTGTCTTTAAAATGCAATAAAATACCTTATGTTTGACATTTAAATGTGTTAGTGTAATGCCCATGGAGCATTTTTTTTTTCAATGCAACCCCTCCTTTTGAGTGTTTTTGGCTTATCTGTACATTGACCGTTTCGAAGAGGAAGAAAAATAATAAGTATTTTACTCCAAATTCGAGTTTGGTGTATTTTCTTCCTGTTATTATGCAGAACTCCAAGAAATTCAATTGCAATTTGTTTGGAGCTAAACCATAAAAAATACAGTATTATCAGCTAATGTGAGCTTCATCAGCTGAATTAAAATCCTTTTGTAAATGTGTTTATCGAATAACATAAATTACATATTGGCGTGATAAAAAACCCACAGAAACAAGAAAATACCAACATGTTAACAGAATCACAATCCAAACTCAAATTAAAAAAAAATATAGGGCAATCTTGATCAAAAGAAAGATTTACACAGAGACCAATGAAAATACGTACAAGGAGTATAAGAACAGGTGTTCTGGAAGAATACGCGTCTGCTGCTTCATCGACGACAGCCGCCATGTAAATATTGGTCAAACCAAGTAAATAATGTCATGTTCTCAACTGAGAAAACTGTATACAACAACAAACCAACAAGCATTTTGGTTCGCGTACCACAGGAACATTGTCCAATTTTGACGGTATCACTAAGGGGAGAATACTTATAACTTGACCATACTTTATACATATATTTTTAGAATTGACACCGTTTGTTGTTAGTTGTTGCCCGAGAATCCTTTGGCGAATATTTTACTTATATACTATATCAGGCTAGTCTGACTGATTGATTGATTTAAAGAAACAAAATATGACTGGTATTGGTAAGACAAAAAGCTTTTAATTGACTTCCGGTATCTCAAATTCACTCAAAAATCTTCTAGTGGATTGCCTGGGATTGGTTTTCATGCCATGGTTTTAAGTTATCGATAGACTCGGTATACAGTTGATTTCAATTCCAGTTACATTTGGAATGCTCAAGTTATTTAATACTTCTAGGTTGTATGCTTCTATTTGATCAAATTTTATTTTTCCCTTTTTGCTATTCAGCAGTTTAAAGTTTAGTAAACCGTTATAATTATTAGAATATACCAACAATACATACCGATTGATTAGGGGAATGTCGTGAATCATTAAACATAAATATTGTCATAACTAGGCCTATATCAAGGTTATGCGTATGTTGATTTGATTTCAAAATCATGTATAATTGTCTTAGTAAAATAATTATGGTAATGATGATAAACCATTTACGGAAATATTTCATAGTCTAATATGCAGTTAAAAACATTTAGATTGATATCCACTGGAAAAAAAAGATAAACAAAAGCTAATATTTTTTTATTCGTATGAACATAATTTCTTTTTCGCTAGTAAAATAAGTTTCATTTTAGTAAATCAACTAGATCAATTGTTCATGTCCTACAATTGTCTCTGGATACGTTTTAGTACGCTTCTTCATGATAACCATTGTCGGTCTTATTTTTATGTTTGTTGTTTTCATATATCACCATGCAATGATAAAAAAAGACATTCGGGGATATAAAAAGGACAAGCATTCGCAATAAGATATGTTCTTTTCGCTTATTCCATATACAGTACTTGTATAATCAGACAATGTCCTTTCGAACGGTCGACTACAGCAATCACCAATGCCAACGGTCCATGGGAGGTAATCACTGCTAAGCGCGAGCGGGACCAGATGTCCCGGATGTTCCGAAGAAGAACAACAGGGTCGCCATTTTCCCTAAGTCTTTGACAGCTACCGCCATTGGCCTCATAAGCTATAACCGGCCTAACCATATGGATAACAGATAAAAGCGATGTACAGTCTTCTACCGGAGCACACACGACAATGGTAAGTGCAAACAAATCGATCCGCTGAGTTTCACTCGAGCAGAAACAGCGGTGATATTCGCTGATGGTCGCGGTTGCCTTCTTCTGTTCGGCGCAAATGAGTAGGTTGCGTTGACGCTTAATCAATACAAAAGTTACCTTCAGTCGGATTTAAGCGATGAATGTGTCTGATATCGCAGATGATGTGTATTGCTATATTTTCAATCGATTAAAAACGCCATTTGAAGTGAATTGTCAATTAAAGCACTTGCCCGCTGTGACGTCCGTGACGTTGGTTCGGCACGTAAAACGCTCTATGATGTCATTCCGAAGAATACTCCCTCTGCTATGACGTTTCTCTATTTCTGTTTTATTTACAATCCCACAATGATGTTGCTAACGTGATCATTTGAATAGTATAAGTAATTTTGCGCGTTCTGCGTGTTTGAATTTAAACTTCGGTGTTGACCTACTTAGACGGGTTTTGTTTTATAAACTTTTTTATGCTCCGACGTTGTTCATATATTTGAAAGATATTCGTATTAATCAAACGGCATTAGATTTTTAAAGCACTTGATATTTTTTAGTTGTTAAATACGTTTGTTCATTTATTTTGTTGGAAAGCATTTCTGATATTTAATTTGAATATTTCGATCTAGCATGACCCCCCTCCTTTTTTTTTTGAATGTGGACACTTTTATGCAGGCTTTAAAAATTACCATGGTTATATGTCAGGTTTTGTGTGTTTAAACTGAATCAGTTACTGAATACTTCTCAGGTGTTCCAAATTTGTATATCAGAAGGGAAACATTTTTTTAGGTCACTTTCTATTCATTGAGATCATTGAGAATTGCTGATTGGTAGACTTGTGCAAATAAAAAAACGGTGTAGGAATGTACATCTGTAATGTGAAACTTTAATTTTTCGAGGCTGTAGTAGTGATGGCAATTGCTTTTCTAATATTTTGTAGCACACTCATATGCGAGGTTTCATTTGTGACAGAAATAAAAAAAATTTACCCTGTACTTTGCATCCTACTTGTGCTTTTACAATATGCTCATATGCATCGACAGAAAGATTGTAACCAAGGTGTAAAGAAGTGTTTTAATGATGGCCTAGTTTTCGATTAAGGTTAGCTCAGAGTATGAAAATATTTGCATTGTTGACATATGTACAGTTGTTTGGATCTTGTGATGTAACATGATGTGCAATGTGTGCACGATTTCAGCACAATGTGCACACGATGTAAGAAGGATTATATGCAGTGTCTACACTAAGAAAATTGGTCAAAATTTGCTATTTGCACAGTTGTGTGCCTTGTGCTATTCTGTCGTATTATAGATTTAGAAATTACATATGAAGAAGTGTGGAATAGGCTTTGTTTATTTATTTTTGAAATATATATTTATATAACATTTAATATATGATACACATGTCGATCTATCTAGTAGAAATAATTATTATATATCCTCGTAATTAAGAGTGTTTTTAGTGCCAGATGAGACCAGTCTTGGTATGCAGACACTCATTATATATACATGAGGTGGGGGGAGGGGGAATGATAAAGATATAGAAGTGTGGATACATAGATTTGAACAGGAGGGGCTTTTGCCTTACAGGACACTGACATCCACTAGTTATTGAAATGTTTAAATACTAACCAGTAAATTCCGTCGAAAGGTACCAACCAAACCATGAACCAAATATATTTTGTTAGAACAAAGCAATATTTAAACTGATGGTGATGATGACCCCATTTCCCCATCAATATGCCATTTCAAAAACACTATGGGAAATATATCTATAACAAGACAAGATAGTAATGGAAAGTCAGTTAAAATCCATATTTCATTATTAATCAATATAAGAGATTTTTCTATCTTGTTCAAGAATTATGTAATTGGCTGACTGTTTGTTCAATATTCATGGATAACGAAAGTATTTTCCATTTTGTGATATTTCATTTTTTGAACTTTTATCTGAAGTATCTCTCTAGCCAAGAATCTAAATAAAAATTGAACTATATTATGTGGAAATATTGTAATCTATTGCAAATCACAAGTAAAGCACACGTTAAATATCTTCAAAGAAATAAATTGATAATATCCATATGAAAATTGAGTCATTAAAAATTCAATCATGCAATCCTTTTTTCATTTTTGTGCAGTTTGATTTCTGTGAGTGTGTTAAGGGCCTGTTCTACCTTAAAATGTCCATTCATCCACTCATTGTTACTGTCGCTAGAATAAATTACTTGTGTTATTTTTTTTGTACGGAATCAAAGGAGCCATGGCATGCGCTATCAGTCCTTCAGTGTTGTTGTTATTATTAAACGTTCCACCGTAAATCAGTCCTCCAAACAGAAATGTACTTGAATTTGAACGGATGTTAGTCTTAGCTGTTTCTGAGCATTGGCATTATTTCATTAGAGTTAAGTAAGCCCAATCAAAGTTCTCTGTGTCAGTCAACCCGTGGATTAAACTTCTTTGTTTGCTAATAGTTGAAATGTTTAATTGATGCCAAGGGAGTTAAACATACAGATCTGTCCAACTAGTAGCTATGTAAGAAATTATTTATACTGGATCTGTTGAAAATCAACTGAAAATTCAAAAGTGAAGCACCAAGTGATTGGGAAATTCCGAAATGTTTCCAACTTTCAAGGATCGTAAATACTAACAGAGGTTAAGGAATGTTCCAGTGTCAAAATGCTCAATTCAAAGGAAATTACATGAATCTGGTTACAAAAGAAGGGCTGTCAAGAAACAGGTCATAGGATTAGAGGTTAACATAAAACCTTATTTCATGGTGTAGAGAGAAAAGAAACATAACAGTTGACAATTATTGAGGAAAAAAATGGCTGACAGGTGGCTTTCTTGGATTTTGACAATGGAATTTTGTTATTACTGTTTCTTGAGAAGTCTTGGATAGATCTCTCTCAAACTTCAAGGTCATTTGTGTAAAGGAAATAACTGTAATTTCATTCATCTAGCTGCTCGGTCTCGCTTTGAAATATTCAAAAGTTGATTGAGCAAGACTATTTTTTCACTTGAGTACTGCTTTTGGTTTTCCATCCAAAGATAAAGGTAACACATAAAAAAGGAGGTAACTCAGTCCATTTACTGATTTCAATTCCATAATTCCAGTCTTTGAAGTGCTCTGTTTTGGTGTCTGCGGCAATGCTCTTATTAGAGAAATAAAAATATTTTGTTGTCATAAAAACTTATCTTTTCCTTCAGTATTTTTTGTTATCAAGTGAGCTGCCGTGTTATCAGCTATCCAGCTTGCAGTAAAACATAATACAAGAGTGAAGCATCAGTAAAGGATCAATGCTCTCTTCACAATGCAACCAAGTATTCTGTGATCATGAGTGGTACTGCATACATTGTTGATACTCCAGGGGTTACAATCACTTTCTGCTTTCTGCACCCCTGGAACAAGTCATGGCAAAATTGAAGTCACAAATGAAGTAATTTGATTGGTTTCTTGTGGAAAAAACTGACCAGTTACAGGCTGATGGTTCCTTTCAAAGATTACAAACGATCAAACTAGTTTTTTCGTCTTGTCCACAAGGTGTCGCACATGGACCCTTCATTTTTGCCATGACATGTTCCAGAGGTGGAGGGAAACAGGAAGGGCATCTAATGATGAAATCAGCATATGGTTAGTGTAGTTTCTTCACTATTGAAATTATCTATAGCTTAGCAGGGTATTGGAGATAGATATCAAATTCATGAAAATGTCATTGATAAATCCAGGGGTATTAGTTTGATGCATTGTTTAAAGATATAATTCATTTCTTTATATTAAAAATTCAGTTGATATAATTATTAAATTTCTGCAGACTTGCTCTTATACTCTTGAGACTCTGATCAACTCATGACAGTCTTAAAGCCTTAAAGCTTCTTTTTTTTCCTTTTTTTTTTTAGGTATGCAAACTTCTTGACTGCACTGACTTTGCACATGTGTGCTTATTTCCATTCATCTATATATTGCAGAACGAAAATGTAATAATTCTGAGTGCATAAAATCCTGTATTAATTACATAATTAGCTAACATTGTGTGGTACACCTGATATTTAAACAATTTTTTGTACATAATTTGAATGTTTTTTTAGGGTTTTTCTTTTTTTGAAATTCAAATATCTATTCTTTAAAATTTTTGGTTTTATTCATTTTTTGATAAATTAGATAAATATTTTAATATTTTCATTTGCTTTGGGAGTCGGATGTGCAGCTTATATACCAATGGCTTAATTGTGGATAAAAAATTCGGTGGGATGGAGAAAAAAACAGGAAGCTTATTCAGTACACTAGTACAGGACAGAACTGAGTTTTTTAATCGTATACAGGATGAATTGAAGATTGAAATAAAAATAACATTCTCATGGATGTAATTAATCATACCTTTTAATATAAATCACAATTATATCTACTGGACTGTAGTGGTTACTTTGAAGCCATAGCAGTATTCAAGCTCACAATTGTGTCTGTGTAGACGATCTGTGAAGGCACCCAAGCCAAACAAGTTTGATATTTACTATTTTAGCTTTTTGAAACACATCAATAAGATAAAGGATTATCTGTGTATAATTCATTTGCAAACTTTATTAAATGTTTCAGTGACGACCTTGATAAATTGCCCTCCATTATGTTTTATAGCAAAGAATTTTGGTCAGTTTAACGGTTACCACTTTGTAATCTGCCAGATTTGAGGGCAGATATTCGGCCCCATTCCCAATGTAAAATAGTATCTTTTTTCCCAATTTATACCCCAAGTTTTCCCAATTCTAAGGAAAACGTTATTTTTCCTAATTCTAAGGGCCCCGGGCCCCAGTCCCAAAATGGAGTGTGAGAGCCCTGATATATAACCCAAAACATGGCCCTGGTTACTTTTTGTTGGAGGAGAATACTCTGAAAGATTGTGGTGTGTTGTTAGAATTATATGAAGATGCTAGAGATGTATTATAATTGTAAGTCATAAAATTTTGATGCTGCATTAAATTTTATGACTGTTAATGCTTTTATGTTTATTTATTAGGCAATCTGAATGTGATTTAACTGTTGAATGTGGATATCATCAGACTTGATGACATTAATGAGTAGTTCTTATTCTTCCAGGCACATTCTAATATGTATGAGTTTGATTGTGATTGTTTCGAACAGAAAACAAAAACACAATACCTTATTCCAGGCTTGTTATTAATACTACCGATAATGAAATATAATGCATTGTCTGTCTTTTAATGTCTCCTTCCAAGAAATTATTTCAATTAATTGATATGAAGTGTGGATTAATAAACACTCTGTGTGTCTATTGTTATAAATTACCCTGGTGGGTGATTGGTCTTTTCTCCTTTGTGGAGAGTATTCTCCACCAACAAATGAAATATAGAATTCCTTTACCTCTATACAACCAGACTAACAACATTCAGTCACCTGTAATTCTCTTGTAATTTTGTTAGCTTCAACTGCAGGTCCCATTGTTTCCATGCAGTGATTGACATGTACAAACATTTGAAATTTGTTTATGGGTTTATAAATATTATTGTTGTTAAATGTCAGATTTGATATCAAAACTAAGATTAAATAGCTATAAGAATTGTTCATATGAAAGAATTTAAAAAAAAAATCATAATACTGAAATTACTATACAGATAACAAATGTATCATAAATTATGTCTTCATTAAAATAAAATCTCAGAAAAATCTATGTGTTCCACATTTGAAGTGTATATTCACCCTGAATGGGGTTATTGTACTTCGTTTGACGCTGCCAAGCGTATAGGTCACTGACACAGGTTCAACAGAGTTAACCGTCACAATCCAGCACCGATAGATCTGTTAGGAATATATCTGGGGATATTGGTGGGTACCATCGTTATTTTCATTAAATTCATTTTTTTCTTTGTCTGATAACAAGGAAATGCATAGTCTTAAAGTGTATGGGACTTTAGTTTGACAAATAGTTCACACCAAGTTGTGTATTAGCTATAATTGATTAAATTGTCATTTTTGGTCAATCACTATGATACATTCTGAGAAGTAGTGCACAATTTAATGCATACAACACTGATCATGAAGAGTTTCTATATTTTCTTCTCATCCAATTGGTTGTCAGGAAGTGGATTTGTGTCACACCAACACATATAATTAGATTGATAATAACATTAATTTGAGTACAAAGATATATGGGATATCGGTATGGTAGTTCTGTAGCAGTATTTTTTCATTGTTTGGAATACAATAGACTGCAGTAGAAAGACCAGCAGAAATCAATATGCCCTCGGGATTCTTTGAAGTAGGTTTCTAATCTATATCTGTGATGAACCCTAGATTTGTGGTTGGGACATTTCACCTGCTCTTTCTACAGGTGTATGTTATTGTAGTTTAGATCCTTATCTCATGTTGGACTGGTTGGTTAACAAGTGTATGACAGGACAGACATATAGCTTAGAGGAAGTAAACACAATACTAGTAAGCCAAGATAACTTCCTGGTATTCCAGGAAAATTTGATGTCCCAGTAATTGTATGTAAGTACATGACTTAAATTGTTTGATATGTTGTGGGTCATACTGAACTGTTTTACTTTTGGAATCAAGTACAGATTGCTGTTTTAGGACTTTTTGGGACTGAAAATGATCCTCATTCACAATTAAACTTATTTCATATTTAAACCAAATTCCCAACATCAGCAATTTACCTGTGAAATATCCTTCCCAATTAACTTATGTTCTTCCCAAAATGAGGCAAAAAAGCAATGAAATAATGTCAGAAGCATTAAAAAACAAACTTAAGTTGAATGTCACACTGGGTGTATTTCTAGTTCTAAATATGCTGTGTATGTTTTATATATAATCCCAGAGAAAGTATTAAATATGTAGTCTTGATAACAGTCACTGTTATGTTACTGATAAAACATATCCCAACAGTTGATGAAACTATGATACAATTCATGTACCAGCTACAGTATGGAAGTTTTGTATAAATGGATCAGTATGTCAGCTTTAAAATTGATGACAAAAAAAGTTGTATTTTGCGACAATACAAATAAATTGATACTATTGTTGTAATAATATGCACTTAAAAGTGGGTTAAAGAAATATAGGCAGGATTGCAGTATACCATAAAAGGATAAAGGATATTTTATCTCTCAGTGAATTATAACAAATTGTGTTAAAATCACATATTTTAATACAGAATGCGATAAAAAGGATTTTACAGATGACTGGGTATACATAATGTATCAGCTCAGTAATTGTTAAGTGAGTTTTAAGCTTCACATAAAGGTGTCTAACTAAAGTGGCTGGCCATTGTCGGGGGCTTATTCAGACATCCTCTGTTTACACAGACAGTACAAAAGAATTGAGAGGATTATACTCACATACTACAATTTCCTGGAAGAAGTCTAGATGTACCTTGTGCAGAACAGTATACCATAATCTCTACTCTTCAGGCATGATCATGAAGATGTAGGTTGTCAGCTTGATTTCAAACAAATTTTTGCAAATACCTGTAAACGTTATTCATCTAGACAGCAATTGTTAGTGCCCTGCATTCCCCTAGATTGTTACTTCATGTGCTTAATTTTATTTGTAGAGAAAAAGCAGAATGCCAGAAGATACCAAGCTTGGAATGCACCCATATTCTGCAGAGGCATGTCAAATTCCTCAACTGCCCCATCTCTCCATCGACACTTTGACTCTGGTAAATATGTAACGTTAGTTTTTCAGACCCAATTATTTCAAACGAAATTGCTTTATGTTCTCTATTAAGTGTCAATGTGTATCAGCAATTAGGCAGTGTTGAAAATAATAATTAGTGTCACGTTCGCATATGATAATCACCATGTACGGTGGAATGTTGAAATGATGATGTTTTGATAATTTATATATCATCTTTTTTATGAATAGGCAAATATACAGACACATCTATATTCAAACAAATTGTTCTCATAGATATTTGTTCAGAAATTAATTTCTTCACAAATTAATTTTGTAGATCATTTTTATTTTAAAGAATGCCTCAAGTGTGAGTAACTAATTATGTAAGTTATGTGCTTGAAGGATTCTAAAATGTTTGTGTTTCGTTATATGCCATATTGGAGGGAACTCCATGGTATCATTTTTTGCTCACCTGGCTTGAATGAGTGACAGAACAGATTTTGACCAAATTTGGTTAGAAGCATCCCTGAGGGTAAGGGAACCAATTTTGTATAAATATTGGTTCTTTGCCCCTAGAGACAAGAGGGGCAGTGCATGAAAGGGAAAACTTTGTATAAATGGTAGATCTTGGTCACTTGGAGTCAGAAGGGTGGTGCCCAATAGGGGTAATAGAGCAAATTCTTCAAAAAATCCTACTCTTCCTGTAGGAATGATTGGATTTTGGCCAAAATTGGTCACAATTATGATAGGGTCAAGAAAAATAATTTTTTTATAAACGGTTGATCTTGGCCATCTGTTGCCTGAGGGGAAGGACCCAATTACTGAAAATAGAGCAAGTTTTTTAAAATCCTACTCTTCCTGTAGGAATGAATGGTTATTGCCTGATCTGAAGCATTCTTAGGTGAAGGGGAATTAATCTTCTGTAGACGTTAGGACTCCACATCCTTGGGCAGGAGGGCAGAGCCAAGTAGGGGAAATAGAGTAAATTCTTTCAAACCTACTCCACCTGTAGGAATGGATATTGGGTAAATTTGATCTAAGTAATATTGTGTGAAGGGGAATCTTGGGTTTTGTAGAAGCAGGAAATCTTGGTCCCATGCTTTTGAGGAGAAGGGCCCAATAGCAGAAATAAAGCAAATCATTTCAAATTCTACTTTTCCTGCAAAAATGATCGGCTTTTGACAAGATTTGGTCCAAAGTATTCTTCTGTTCTGTTCTGTTTAGTTCTGCATCAAGGAGGTAAGGGGCCCAGTTGGGGAAAAGCAAGTTCATAAAAATCCTTCTTCTGGACCAGTTTGATCTGAAGTGTTTCTTATGAATATTGTATCTGAATTCTTTTTGACTACAAGGGCAGGACCCAATAGGCAAATTATATTAGAAATTTTGTGTCATATTTGAAATTCTTTATTAAAAGGCTAAATATTCAAATTAGATAGGTGAGCAAGACAGGCCCCTTGTGCTTCTTGTTTTGAGATTTTGAATCAACAGATTGTTATAAAGGTTAAAGCTTTTAAGCGTATGAATAACAAGAGACAAAAGATAACCAAATCCAGACTGGTAAGAAATGGTTAGCACCAGAGGAAACATTTTGACACATAATCTGAAGTTCATGTGTCATTTGATTATGCAGTTTTTAACAATTTGATAATATTCACTTTTGAAAATGTTACTTTGATGAAAGAAGACAGAGCAGCTGATGGCCAGGTGTATATCAGTACTTATGTTAAGGTTCCTCATCAATCATATGATCAATCATGTTGATCAATAGTCTATGTAGCCTATAGACAGGCTATAAAAACTAACATGATCAGGTCTAAAAGTAATACATGTTTCTGCTGATAATGTAACATGCCTGGAAAAAAGCAACCAGCAAAGATATAGATTTTTCTTGGGTCGGAACAAACATTTAACTTAGTAAGGTTTAGTTTTGAAAAAAGTAATTGATCACTGTGGACTGATTTTAATACTGAAGTGATACTTTTAATGATTTGCTTGCCTTCTTATTAAACCAATAAAATTCAATGGAGGTACTTATAAATATTCTCCAATATATACAAAAGAGGTAATTTTTATATTGATGTCCCCTATTGGTGTAGTTGAGTGGTTTAACTTTCTTTTACATAATATTTGATTTACAATATATATGGTTATGCTCCTACAGTTGACAAAAAAATAATGATATAAAGGTTATAGATTTAATGCAGAAAAGGAAAAATGGTATGAAATATGGCTCACAATCCACTGATTTGTTTTTCATTGACAGACTGTTTTACATTACATGTCAGATTAATCCAAATATTGAATATGTTTATTAAAAAAAAAAGAGTTTTGTATTGTAATTCATACCAAAGGGAACAAAACATGAAAATTTTAAATAGGGATACATTTAGTCTAACAGTATAAATAATGAAACAATCTGTCAGTATAATACATGCCTGTCTTATTTTTGATGAAGTTATGTGAATATCCAATCATTTTGTTTTCCAGAACCAGTTACGTGACCTAATTCCCTACCTGATGACATTGGTCCGTGGTAAGACAGTTGACTTAACTGGGAAAGATGCAAAACCTGACTGGTGGCCCTCTGATATTCCATGGAGTGACACCAAGACGGACGTCAATCAGCAGGAAGTTAGTGTCCATACTAAGTATTGATGATGAGAGGATTGCACTGTGGAAATCTTTGCTAATATCACATCTTTGACATATTACTCACAAAATGCTACATGCGCTTATCACCTTGACACCTTCTTCTATAAAGGTTTTGGATGAAAGGGAAGCTCCTCATAGTTTAGTCTATTTATTCTTTCTTTGTTTTCTCACTCAAACAGCCAAGTGAGCTATACGGATACTGTGTCGTTTTGGTGTTCAGTGTCTGGTGTCTTTCAAATTTTCCTATAAATTGCTACTAGTCATGAAGTCTGAGTAGATTTTGACCAAATTCAACCTGAAGCTTTCTTGGCGGAAGAGGAATTGATTTTGTGTAAAACATAGTTGGGGGCCCCACAAGGCCTTATGCGCTAGGCTTAGTGGGGAAGGGAAATCAGTTTAGTATAAACAGTGGATCTCAGCCCCCAAGGACAGGAGGGGCAGAGCCCAATAGTGGAAATAGGGCAGATTATTTAAAATTTTTCTTCTGTTGAAACTGAAGACATCCTTGATTAAGAGCATTTAGTTTTGTACAAACAGTGCATCTAATCCCCTTTGGGTGTAGGGGAGAATCTATCATAGGAAAATAGATACAAGTTTTCTGAAAGATTTTTTCCTTTTAGTTTGATAAATTTTGGCCAAACCAAACCAGGTTGTTTTTGTTTTTTTTTTTTTTTGTATTTTAATGAGGTGTTCAATGATAATTTTCTCAATAGATGTATATTTGGTATTAATTTTCTTTTTAAATGGGTAGACATTTAAAGAGAAATAGTCATCAGCAGTCAGCATTTAGACAATGTTGCAATTCTTTAAAATGGAGAGTGTTTATTAAATTTTATTCTGATTTTAGACTGTCTGGACAGATATGCTGAGGAATGTGGTAAAAAGCTGCTACAAACACATGGGCCAGGAAAGTTCACTGTTGTCAAAATCACAGGCTAAAACACGTAGCTTGGTCAGTATAACAGAAATGATATTGCACAGGTTTAATTCACCTTGATATGTAGTCACATAAAAGTGTAATATTGGTGTTTTCAGCCCACCATCATTAGATGGTGAGGTATTCAAATCGCCCTTCATCTGTGGTCTGTTGTCTGTTTGTCCTTAAAACAATTCATGTTATCACTATTTTTGGGGATGTACTGGATGGGTCTTTTTCAGAATTCATATGTAAAAATTTATATTTTTATTAACTGGTTGTGATGGGGTAATATGTTTGATGCAAAATAGATGACCAAGACCTGTTTTTGGTATAACAGCATATTATGTGTCTTTACCAGACTTTATTTCCTAAGTAATGATATTTAATTTTGAGTTTGTTCAAACCATTGACCATTATTTTATCAAATCACAGATGTGTGTTCTACACAATCTTTGCCTTGCTAGAGTCCTGGTATGTATTTTGACGGTTACCAGGTTGACTCCATGTCTATCCCATCTCCCTTCTCTTACTGTTTACTTTGATTCAATACTTTACCCATACTACTGGCTTTCCTAACTTTTCTAGTCCACTGAAAGGCCAAAAAGGCAGTAATAGTGGACAGGTATCCAGTTGCATAAGTAAATAGATATAATAACCCTGGCGTATCTCCTAATTAACGAGTTCAAAGTTATCCTCTACTGTCAATACAGCAGCTTACTCTGAACAAGTGAAATAAATCATAAGGAACATCCTTTGTGTTTCTTAAATCTAAATGTTATCTGTGTTGTCATAACAGTAACAGGTTATGAATCTGATTGATCATGCAATAAGGGGTCAAGTTAAGTAGACAGGTCAAATTTTAGTCACTGTTAAAAGTGAGTCTATGTCTTGCTGCAATGTCCTATTTCAAGTTCTGACAACTTTGAAACAAAGAAATATTTCATTGTTCAAATTTATAATATAGTTGTACTTTCATTGTCCTCAATACTTGAGAGACGTGTGTTGTACAATTATGTGATGTACAATTTAGTAATTGAAGGTTGTTTAAATATTAGTATCCATTTCTTGTTGCAGCAAAGTTACCCGATGCTTCAGTCAATTCTTCAACATGCATCTAGAGTGAAGGCAGGAAAAGGTAAATCAGTTGTCTGCTACTTCTGAACAAGACTTTAAATTAACAGTTAAAAAGCATGCTATTATTAAATTGTATTGAACTCATTTATCTTTTTCTCAAACATACATTATTTTGTATTGCAGGGAAGAAGTCTAATGCCAAACAATATGCAGAGATCTATGTTTGTTTTTTCTGTGAAAAGGAGTTCTTGGACCGCAGTGAGATGCGACAACATCAGGAGAAATGTGTTGAACGACCACCTACCCTTCAGGTCGTAGGTACACCTCCACGTCAGACGATATCCCCTCGGGGCCCACCACCTATCAGCCCTTTACCCAAAATGTTGCTCTCTGAAAAAAATATCCGACCATCCAAGGATTTGTTTATCAAACTGGTCAACTTAGTTCCTCAGAAAAAAGCAGAGAAGATTCGTGCAAAACACAGATACAGTCAGGAGATAGATTGTGAAAAAATTGACCTTGATGAACCAATGTCCCCAACTACACCACGCACTCCCAAGTCTCTCATTTCCCAACTCAGCCGAGATGACAGTGCAGCTATATCAAAGAAGCGCTTAAGCTACTCTGAACCTGTAGACAGTGATAGAGAAAGTGTTGCAAGTGGAAGTTGTGAGGAAGGGGAGGGTGGGTCAGTGCAGAAGGGGAGATCTCTCCTGTCCATTGACCTGACCTCATTATTGGGGCAAAGGATACAGAAACATATACACACTGAAAGTGGACTATTAGTCATACCCAACGCTGAACAGTTCTGTAAAACCCCAGTGAAAAATGACACCCTTGGTAAACTGAGACACAGAGTTGTGACATTCCCAGTGACATACAAAGCAAGGAAGAAACATGTGGGAAATTATACACATGATTACACATTCAATAGCAAACAGAGGCGAGAGCGTTTGAGGAGAGTTAGAACGGGAATAAACACATCTAGTTACAAGCTCCTCAAAAGTCTGCCACAGTGCAAGGTATTTATGGATCAGCTTAAAGACAGCGATCTACGGCGATGGTTGTCGCGGTTCATGTATAACAAGTTGAAAGGCATTAAAAAAACAGTAGTCGAAGAGGAGGCAGTATTTCCCAAGGAGCCCCTTCTCATGTCCAAGGATATAGACAACTTACTGGGACTGAAGAGAAGATCTGGCAGTAACAGCAACCCACCACTGTCTCTTGCCAATGTTGTGTCAGAACAAGTGAATGCAGAGGCTTCCAAACAGAAACTGACCTTGTACAGGTGTCTGCTTTCTGATGTTTCCTCCTATGGTGTTTTGTATGGTGACAAGAACTTGGCTGCTAAATCAGCAAATGTAAAAAGTAATAAAAAGAGTTCAGAGTGTGGTCGGCAGTACAATTTGAAATCTTCACAGAGCTCAAAGACCAATAAGAGCTCTACCTTGTCAGGGAATTCCTCACCAGTCATCAGCGGTGTACTAGATCTGCCTGCTTACTCAAAGTCACGGTCTGATGATGACATATCTGTCCTATCCATGTCGTCAGATGAAGAATCACTGAAGTCAGGGTGTTGTATGGAGTGCCGGAGAAGAAAGCTATGCCCGACAACTCATGACCCAGTGTTTCGGTCTCCATCTGTGTCTCCCATGTCTTCACCCAATACAGATAGCAGGGCTAGACTTGTCAAGAGTGTGACTTTGCCCGTCAACACGCCACTACAGATTAATCCCTACGCATCCTCAAATGGGTTGAGGTCACCAGATATCTCGCCTTGCAGCTGTCTCTCCTCCCCAGGTTCTGACTATGACCACAAAATCTACCCCTCTCCAACCTCCTCGACAAAAGGTGTATTGTCTACAAGTGTGACCAAACTCAATGTAAAAGGATTTCCCTCCCCAGGGAAGTTTCCATCTGTTGGACATCAATCAGAGGTACGACGTACAAGGTCCACTTCAGCATTTACAGACAATGTGTATAAACTAGAAAGCCTGCTTACTGCTGGTAAAACGGAGGAACCGATTATGTCTCTACGCAACAGTAAATCTTCTTCCCCTGCACAAGACATTGTTCTACCACCCTCTCCTTCCTCCTGTGCCTCTCCAGACAGCTGTAGTGATAGTGCTAGATACAACGTAGCGTCACCTGTCAGAGATATCCCAGCAAGTGTTGAGAGCTTGTCTGCACAGCGGCGTATTCTCAGGGCGTCACGTTCAGAGTCGCCTGGTGTTTCTATCCACACACAAAGTGAATCCCCTAAGAAATCGTTAGGTCTGCCAACACTAAGAGTTCTTCTGAAGAGCTCGGGAATGAACCCTAAAAAGGATTTAATTCTGAGTCTTTCTGACTTGAGTCCTCATACAACCAGCCCTTCTAAGTCTATTGAACCGACACGACGGTCAAAGAGGATTTTGTCTTCAGGGTCTCCAGGGGGCAGTCCAGCCAAACTTCGTAAATTGGAAACAAGATAGTGACTTCTGGTCAATACAATCCATGACATACATCTGGTCATTCACATTGATCTCCATAGTGCCTGGTGACAGATCACCATGTTTTATTTTAGTATGACCAGACTACCAGACTTGTCATCATTGTAAGGAGTAATAACATAGCAGTGACATCAGTCCTCACCTTCATATAAAGAGATAACTGTTGTCACTGTTATTTTTGTCGGTGAAAATGTTGATTGTAATGAAGGGGTGATCAAATTACATAGAGAAGACAGTGTAAGATGTCTTTGAAACCAAATTTGGAATCTTATATCATTGAAAATTTCATACTATTATAGCAATCTAGTTAGTTTACATATGGTGACAAGCCTGAAAGTGCTGGTGGATTTTCATTGTCATTGCAATCATGTCTGGTGATGCCAACCACATTTGTGAAAATCTTTTTTTCCATTTTGCTGTTTTAATGCAATATCTACCTAAGTATCTGTTTCTAGAAGAAATGTGATATTAAGGACTATTTTAGTATAATTTGTTTTCCATGGTAATTTTCCTCTGGAGTAAGACACAAACTTTGATACCAGTATTTCTTTCCGATACCTAATATGTGATAATACCTATGCATGACTGAAATAGATGTAAGACAACATAAAAACATGAAGTAAGGATAGGAGCTTAACCTATGGCAACAGTATTTTTTTTTTTTCCACCAACAGGAATTTTTGTTTCTCTTTCATTTCCAATTATGCTATAATACAGTATTTAGTCTTACTGACTATGCTTGCTAATGATGTATTAAAATGAGGGATAAATAATTTCCAAAATACAGATTTATTATGAAAAAATTGAGAAAGAAAAAAAGATGATTGAAAACAAGGCTTTTTTATCATCTTAAAGATGTTTATTTATTTTTTTTCAGTTCATATATCTGACATACTATATATATCTGAATATTTATACAAAATGTGTATCACATGTATCAAATTTCAAATATCATCCATCTTTAAAATCTCTTGTTTTTGAAATTTGATTTAAATAGTACATGTTCCCGTAAAATTTGATGTGTACGTATGTACCTGTGAAGACACTTTACAATCAGTAAACTGTGTTTACGTCATTCCGACATTTGAGCTTTATTGAGAGGTTGGTGGCTATAAATTGGTAGCTTGTGATGGGATGATAGACAGGATGGAAGGCCACTGTGTGTTTTACAAAGGTTGTTATGTAAATACTGTATATAAGATGTTATCATTTTAGTGCTACACTTGGTGCTTCATCCTCGGGATGTCATACAAATGTGTGTGAGCAAGTTGCACGAATCGAAAATGTGAGATCTGTATGCTATGCTATGAAGTTAAAGGCTTTTTCTTCACAAATGAATCTATCAGATTTTGGTGATGATTGTAGACATTGCTTTAAGACAAATTAAAAGTAAAATTTGTTGGTTACATTTCCTGAAACCAGAACATTTTTATGAAAGAGTAAGTGTAGTCTGCCAACATTTCTTCTATACTCTTAGGAGAAAGTTTTACCCCTATCTATTTGTCACTCCTTATGGATCTGTAATGATAGAAGATCAACTTTATAACTGTATCATTGTCTTCATAAAAACTTAATTCTGTTATGTAGTATTAGTTTGTTCTATTTTGAATAGTATTAGTCCAGACAATGCTGATTTGTTTTTGAATTGACTCCCTAATAGATTAGTTTTTTATTTTGTCAGCCTTGCAGTTTTTTTTTTTTCTTTTTTCTTTTCTCTGTCTCTCTCTCTTTTAGTTGACACCATTCATCATTTATTTGATGTTTTAAGTTTGAAAACTTTCAAAGATAGAAAAGACTGTTCCTTTCAATATGAAATTGATTGGATTGTATTGTATCACTATATCATTTTGTTTATGGGTAGAAATATTGGCAGATCCAACTGACAAATCTTGCCAGAATTATTTGTTATCTGTGATAATTTCAAATAGATCAATTTTATATTAAAACACTTCCTGTTGAATAGCTTGTCACAAGATGGTCCATTTAAGTTTGAAGATATTGCATATATTTTTCGGCAAAATAAAGTAAGCTCTGTGATATTTTAAAACCCCATTTTAATGATTTAACTTAGATTAGATGGTGCCGTTAAAAATATCTGGAATAACCAAAGCTGTCAAATCCATTGTAACCCAAAGAATGAGAGAGTTGCCAAATTGTTTTCTATGTCCACACTGTGGTTACCGGTTTTCTTGTTTCTGTTGAACATGTCCTATTTCTCCACCGTATCACAGCCTGATTGTTGTTTGTTGTTGGCTGATCTGCTCTGTTATTGTACAACCTATCTTAGGTAAGCTGTACATGTACTGTATACGGGATAACTTTAACTGAATTTTAACTATTGTCTTTTTCACCAATTTATCCTCTTGGTTAAAATGAATTATAGAGGGTGTTCAATGTTAAATCTGAAACATGTAGTTGTTTTAGGACAAATTTAACACTTGGTGAAAATTAATAGTTAAACACAAGTACAAAAGTAGCCTGTGTGAAAGTTTGTTGTAAACAGTACCACAATATATATATCTGTGATGGAAAATATGTAGATTTGGACTCAAATTAGAACAATGACCTATTTTGATAATATTTTTTTTAATGTTCAACCTCTTTGTAGTAATGGAGAAATTATGGATAGACTTAGAGAATTGCATATGATACACACGAAGATTCCAGTTGATCACATGATACAGATGTATTAGAATGCATGATTGTGATCTAGGTTGACACGTTTTATGTGAAGTCTGTGAACAGATATCAACTAAAAAAAATAGAAAGTGTAAATGCTTGATAGCATAATATGATTTTGTGCCAAAAGGTTTCCAAGTTTAATTTTTTTTAAAAGTATTTTGTGACAAAATACTTCATATATATGATGCCTGTATTTATTTGACAATAATGTCTTCACAGACTAAAATTTTAGTAGGATAAAAATGTGAACATTTCCATTAATTAGGAGTGCTGTCAGGAATTGAACAGTATTGTGATTAAATAACTCATGAAAACTGATGCAAGTATTTCATTTATGTAATGTCCCATAAGTAGAAAATTGTAAGAAAATAATAGAATTTCAGTTGAGAAAATTATTTCCATTTTGAAGGATTATTGATTTTTAGTTGATTTATAGAAAAAGTTCTGTTGACTCAGATTCATTGAATTCTAATTAAAAACCATGATATTAATTCCATAAAGTATAATTACCTAGACCTAGGAATTAACTTCGATAAAGCAGTTTTGTGCTCTTTATGATATTTATGCATAAGTATGGATACTTAGATAATCTGGGTTTTTTATGGGAGAAATGCATAAATTTTTGAAAGGGAAGATAAAAGATTCAGATACAAAAAATGACTACTGGTTGATGCGACCGGCTAGAATGTAGGCAAAAGCTGTATTATTTGTATGTCAGAAATATGCACGGTTATGTGTGATTAAAGAACAGTGAGGTATTATCAGGCATTGTTATGTTCTAGTTACTGTGCTTCCTTTTGTTATTGATGAAATCATCCATCACAGAAATAGCTTGTGATAAGCACTTCTTGTGCTGAAATGCACAGTAAATAGGGTGTGATTATTAAAACTGTCCTGATATTGTTACGATTGTCTTCGTTCCTTTCAATCAGTCTCATTTTAAAGTGTGTATGTCATATATTTTGGAAAAATTTGATGATCATTAGATGTTCCAAAAATTAACTATTGGTGAACGATAGTGTACACTGTGAAGCTGTTTAACAGAGAATGAGTGTATTGCTGGTACAGGGGTTTCAGAACATTTGAATTTGAAAAATTATTTACCTAAATTTTGCAAGGACTTAAACATTTATCTGAACAGGTTTGTTCAGACTATAGTTCCTACCACTGATCCATTTACCTGTATGGGTGTATTAAGACAAGTAAGATATCTTGTACATTCATATTAGGACAATTCCATTTACCAATACAATTGTGTCCATGTACCTGTGCTTTTACCATGGACCATTAGTATGATTTTGAGATCTAATATATGTACTGGTTTATATCAACATGTATTTGTCCTTCAGGTCTAGATTCAAGACACATTTATTTCACATTTGTTTGGCTACTGATTTTGTTGTACTGGTTATGTGTTCATGAGAATGTTATTTTTTGTTGGTCTTAATCAAACAGTCTAAACCTTGTGGTTTTGTAAAATTCTTAAATAACATGTGATAGATTGGGAATCATATTTGTCATGACAAATCCCTTGGGTTTGGTCAAGAATAACAAGTTGTCTCCCCTGAAAGATTCTAATGGTTTTGCTGAATTATCCTTAACATGTGTGTTTAGACTACACTGTACAGGTGTACAATCACTCTGACTTTAATATCATTGCAGAGTCTGTCTCTCAGTCATGTAACAAGGAGATGGTAGATATTATCTGGGACTTACACGAGTCATTGCAGAGTGTGGGTCCTAGGACAGGGAGACAGTAGATCTTGTCTGGGAGTTACAGGAGTCATTTCAGAGTCTGTGTCCTAGGACAAGGAGACAGTAGATCTTGTGTGGGAGTTACAGGAGTCATTTCAGAGTCTGGGTCCTAGGACAAGGAGACAGTAGATCTTGTCTGGGAGTTATAGGAGTCATTTCAGAGTCTGGGTCCTAGGACAAGGATACAGTAGATCTTGTGTGGGAGTTACAGGAGTCATTTCAGAGTCTGGGTCCTAGGACAAGGAGACAGTAGATCTTGTCTGGGAGTTATAGGAGTCATTTCAGAGTCTGGGTCCTAGGACAAGGATACAGTAGATCTTGTCTGGGAGTTACAGGAGTCATTTCAGAGTCTGGGTCCTAGGACAAGGAGACAGTAGATCTTGTGTGGGAGTTACAGGAGTCATTTCAGAGTCTGGGTCCTAGGACAAGGAGACAGTAGATCTTGTGTGGGAGTTACAGGAGTCATTTCAGAGTCTGTGTCCTAGGACAAGGAGACAGTAGATCTTGTGTGGGAGTTACAGGAGTCATTTCAGAGTCTGGGTCCTAGGACAAGGAGACAGTAGATCTTGTGTGGGAGTTACAGGAGTCATTTCAGAGTCTGGGTCCTAGGACAAGGGGACAGTAGATCTTGTCTGGGAGTTACAGGAGTCATTTCAGAGTCTGGGTCCTAGGACAAGGAGACAGTAGATCTTGTGTGGGAGTTACAGGAGTCATTTCAGAGTCTGGGTCCTAGGACAAGGAGACAGTAGATCTTGTCTGGGAGTTACATGAGTCATTTCAGAGTCTGGGTCCTAGGACAAGGAGACAGTAGATCTTGTCTGGGAGTTACAGGAGTCATTTCAGAGTCTGGGTCCTAGGACAAGGAGACAGTAGATCTTGTCTGGGAGTTACACGAGTCATTTCAGAGTCTGTGTCCTAGGACAAGGAGACAGTAGATCTTGTGTGGGAGTTACAGGAGTCATTTCAGAGTCTGGGTCCTAGGACAGGGAGACAGTAGATCTTGTGTGGGAGTTACAGGAGTCATTTCAGAGTCTGGGTCCTAGGACAAGGAGACAGTAGATCTTGTCTGGGAGTTACAGGAGTCATTTCAGAGTCTGGGTCCTAGGACAAGGAGACAGTAGATCTTGTGTGGGAGTTACAGGAGTCATTTCAGAGTCTGGGTCCTAGGACAAGGAGACAGTAGATCTTGTCTGGGAGTTACAGGAGTCATTTCAGAGTCTGGGTCCTAGGACAAGGAGACAGTAGATCTTGTGTGGGAGTTACAGGAGTCATTTCAGAGTCTGTGTCCTAGGACAAGGAGACAGTAGATCTTGTGTGGGAGTTACATGAGTCATTTCAGAGTCTGGGTCCTAGGACAAGGAGACAGTAGATCTTGTCTGGGAGTTACACGAGTCATTTCAGAGTCTGTGTCCTAGGACAAGGAGACAGTAGATCTTGTGTGGGAGTTACAGGAGTCATTTCAGAGTCTGGGTCCTAGGACAGGGAGACAGTAGATCTTGTCTGGGAGTTACAGGAGTCATTTCAGAGTCTGGGTCCTAGGACAAGGAGACAGTAGATCTTGTCTGGGAGTTACAGGAGTCATTTCAGAGTCTGGGTCCTAGGACAAGGAGACAGTAGATCTTGTCTGGGAGTTACAGGAGTCATTTCAGAGTCTGGGTCCTAGGACAAGGAGACAGTAGATCTTGTCTGGGAGTTACACGAGTCATTTCAGAGTCTGTGTCCTAGGACAAGGAGACAGTAGATCTTGTGTGGGAGTTACAGGAGTCATTTCAGAGTCTGGGTCCTAGGACAGGGAGACAGGAGATCTTGTGTGGGAGTTACAGGAGTCATTTCAGAGTCTGGGTCCTAGGACAAGGAGACAGTAGATCTTGTCTGGGAGTTACAGGAGTCATTTCAGAGTCTGGGTCCTAGGACAAGGAGACAGTAGATCTTGTGTGGGAGTTACAGGAGTCATTTCAGAGTCTGTGTCCTAGGACAAGGAGACAGTAGATCTTGTGTGGGAGTTACATGAGTCATTTCAGAGTCTGGGTCCTAGGACAAGGAGACAGTAGATCTTGTCTGGGAGTTACACGAGTCATTTCAGAGTCTGTGTCCTAGGACAAGGAGACAGTAGATCTTGTGTGGGAGTTACAGGAGTCATTTCAGAGTCTGGGTCCTAGGACAGGGAGACAGTAGATCTTGTCTGGGAGTTACAGGAGTCATTTCAGAGTCTGGGTCCTAGGACAAGGAGACAGTAGATCTTGTCTGGGAGTTACAGGAGTCATTTCAGAGTCTGGGTCCTAGGACAAGGAGACAGTAGATCTTGTGTGGGAGTTACAGGAGTCATTTCAGAGTCTGGGTCCTAGGACAAGGGGACAGTAGATCTTGTCTGGGAGTTACAGGAGTCATTTCAGAGTCTGGGTCCTAGGACAAGGAGACAGTAGATCTTGTGTGGGAGTTACAGGAGTCATTTCAGAGTCTGTGTCCTAGGACAAGGAGACAGTAGATCTTGTGTGGGAGTTACATGAGTCATTTCAGAGTCTGGGTCCTAGGACAAGGAGACAGTAGATCTTGTGTGGGAGTTACATGAGTCATTTCAGAGTCTGGGTCCTAGGACAGGGAGACAGTAGATCTTGTCTGGGAGTTACAGGAGTCATTTCAGAGTCTGGGTCCTAGGACAAGGAGACAGTAGATCTTGTCTGGGAGTTACATGAGTCATTTCAGAGTCTGGGTCCTAGGACAGGGAGACAGTAGATCTTGTCTGGGAGTTACATGAGTCATTTCAGAGTCTGGGTCCTAGGACAAGGAGACAGTAGATCTTGTCTGGGACTTACATGAGTCATTTCAGAGTCTGTGTCCTAGGACAAGGAGACAGTAGATCTTGTGTGGGAGTTACAGGAGTCATTTCAGAGTCTGGGTCCTAGGACAAGGAGACAGCAGATCTTGTCTGGGACTTACATAAGTCACTTCATAGTATCTGTCCCATTCATGTTACAAGGAGATGGAAGATCTTGGCTGGGATTTAGAAGTCGCTTCAGAGTTTGTGTCCAACATATATTTATGCTAAAAAGGAGACAATAGATGTTTGCTGGGATATGGCCAATAGCAAGGCAACTGTCAGAGTGCGTTCAGATTCTCCCTGAATGGCTTTCGTGTGTATCTTTGTACTTGTTACCATTAAGTGAATATAACTCTATGACATAACAGAGTAAGAAATTATAAGTCTGACAATTAGGATATTGCAGTCCATTGCTCATTACGAAATAATGGTTTCTGAATTGTTCCTCTGTTCCATCAGGAATACATTATTAACATACTTTTTGTCTTAACAATAACAAAAATCTTGAAGTCATGATTGCTTTGTATCATTTTATAATCTTAATATAATTTTTTAAATGACTATCGTAATGAAATGTTCGAGAATGATATACGAGTTATATATAGCATTGTCTTGCTCGGCAACTTGTCACAATGATGTGTACTTGTCTCATCTGAAAAACATGTAGAACACTGTCTTTACTGAATAAATTGCAAAGGTTAAAAATATGGCAAGTTTGACTATGGTTTATAATCATTATTGCAGTATAAATACAAGTCCGTTTGCCAATTATTCCCTGCCTTGTTTATATCTATATTAGTCCTGCACTCCTACAAATTGTGATCAATTTCCAAGGAGATGAAAGCTTTAATTCTATGCATTCATATTAAATGATATTAAGAGATTGAAATGTTCTTATCTCTCAAAAAATTTTTAGCTTTTAGTTTTGTCAAGTGAAAATTTGAATTGAGAAATACTAAACTTTCACTGTTTTCAATTTCTCCAACTGGAGACTTTTCTTGTCTGATAAATTTTCACTGTTTTATTGCATACTTCATGTTTTATTACTGAAATTGTCGGTTCCCTCACAAAGGAATCTGTAAGCTGTGGTTTGGAGTTCAGGAAAAGTGAAAAGGTTGTATGTAATGCAGTATAAAAGTGTGTGCCTTCTATGTTGGAGGGTAATGCGGGTGATGTGGTCAGTCACTTAAAATGGGTTGTGGGCCCTTCACAAAACAAACTTGTTTACACATACTGTGCCACTGTTTTTCGTGACTGACCTCTTTCCCTGCTCTCATCTATTCTGCCACTGTGTTCAACATTACCTGTGATGTTTAAAGTATACCTGCCAAATCAGCCAAGTGTCCCTCACAGATGTAAATAAATCATTGCCACTGTCATTTTTGTTGCACATACATTGAACAAATAAACATGAATAACATGAATTTTAACATGGTTTGTATTCTTTGCTTTTAACCCTTCTAGCTTTCATCAATTAGTGGGTGCTGTTCAAACTGCTTTTCATCCGTCTTTCCTAAAACAACACTTGTTATAGCTATTTCTGTAGAAGTACTTGATGGATAATTCCCAAAGTTCATATGCACTGCTGGTTTGGGACTTATTAGAAAAACAAAATGTTCAAAAAACCTCTATTTTTTATTTTGCTAGTTTAGATTCATTATCACTATTTCTTGAGAATTACAGATGGGATAATATGCAAGATCCTCTTGATCCCAAGTTGTATATTGTTTTTCTGATCTGTCCCAAAATGGACAAATTGCAGATAAATGGCCATCTTGGATTTTGACAGTTACACATGTAGTTTATCATAGCTATATCTTGAGAAGTATTGAAAGGATTGGTTCTCCTTGGCCCCTTGCATTCTCCATTATGGAACTGATTGGAAAAACAACACACCTGACTAGTGACCATTTCAGTTTGAAAGTTATGGCTTGATATTGCTATTTCTAAAGAAGTACTGGATTTATAGCAGATTATTTATGAATTTCATTATCTTGGCCTTAAGTTGTGCATTATCCTTTTTCGGACTGATTGAGGAAAATTGAAAGGCAGATACAATTGATGGTTCGCTGCTTGTTCTAAATTCCCATTAGCTGGTGATTCATTGTCTGCTGGTCTGTCTCTCCTTGAAAAATTCTTGTAACTGTAGCCACAAACATTTTGCTCAGGGTCATTTATGCACTTCCATGAAAATATTTATCTTCATCCAGCATGGAATCCACTCTGAAAGCATGACAATTTTTAATGACTTAATTTTCTACATTATTGAAGGGATTGATCCAAAAACCAAAGGCTGACAGGCAGCCATATTGGATTTTGAATGATGAATTTCGTTCCCTTTTCTTCAAAAGTATGGATGGATCTTTCTCAAATTAATATGTACACATATCTTCAATTTGGAACTGATCTTGGAGCCATCCATTTGTTTTTCTTGTTTGGTGCAGAAGGAACTTTTCCCTTTATTCCTTTAAACAAATAATAATAAATACATTAACGATGTGTTTACAGGTATTATAAAATGAATAAGTTATAACATAATCCATCTCATCTGTTTATTCCATGAGTCCATGATTAAAAGCACATTATACATCTATATCTTATATATGAGAAAAAATGAGCATTGTTCTGATGTAAGGTCAATGATGATAACTGTTTAATTATCATTAGTAATCAGGATAGATAATCAACAGTAATACCTAGAATATTACACTGTATTTTACATTACAAAGTTAAACATTGTACCAAAAATTTCATACATTATACAAAGTTGTAGCCAATGATGTAGTAAAATATTGATACGATGTATCATAGTACAATACAAAGTATAATGTTGGTAAAATACTGATACACAAATGAGTCGGTACAATCTCAATACTGTATGTTGATACAGTGCTTCAAAAACTGTGTATCATTATAAAACATTGTATTGTACATTAAAACAAGCTAGTAAAACACGTTAGTGTGTATAGAGACAAACTTGCCTTTTCTTAGCCATCCACTTCAGTTTCATTATTACGACTCAAAACAAATCATTATCACACACACTCAACTCCATACTTGCACTTGCAATCATTCATACACTCCATGATGTGCACCACATACATCGTCATTTTCATAGAATTTACTTTGATAAATATGGATCTTTTTAACGAATTTCTCACAAGGTCCTTTTTACAGAAGTTTCGATATATCTATGGAAATGTTCCATATACAAGGAGTAAACACATATTCTGTTATTTTGCAGGAATTATGAAGTTTAAATTTCCCAATATATTGATGAAATCTTAGTCCTAGGAACTGGTTTTGTTGGTATCATAGTGTTTGATCACTCACAGTTTTAATATTTAAGATTTGCACTGCATTATATATATTTCTTGTTCTTCGTAATATAAGTGATACTAACTGAATTATAACACTGCACACTGACAATATAGATAGATATGGTAGATGATAAAAGCACCTTGGTTATGTTTTCTTAAAATGATACTGAAATGATATAAACAAAACATCCACTCTTGAAGTGCAGAGCAGTCAGGCTTACATGGGAAATCTTGTTGCTGTCCTGTATTTCTCTACAACCCAGTACTGGTGTTAATACAGGATAAATACAGAAACACAGCTGGAATCCATTCATTCACAAGTTCACAACCAATATAAAATTAATCGGGAGTGTTTTCAGGTAAATTCCACATTATGTTTTCCTACACAATGACATCTATCCAGTTTCAATACAAAATAATCCTAATCCTATGTTGATATAATTATGTGAAATATGTAGCTACTTATTCAAATACTTGACCAACAATGAATATCATACACAACTAAAATACAGTAAGTACTTCCTTAGGACCATTGGAAGAGGACAATTATTGATTTCAGGAATAAGTAATAAAAAAACAACTACAAAATACAAAATATTATCAAAGTGATAGAATTGTCTTGTAATCTAAAATGATAATGATTTGATTGATATAGTATGCAGGTTTTGAACATAAACCTTCAGTTTATAATTTTAGATTATTAGCACCTTTCTAAAATATAAATCTATAATGCTAGTTATACATCCTAAGTTCCGTACTGCTTCAGACAAGATACATATATTATCAATACTGTAGTAAAGTCTACAATCTGTTTTTTTTTTTAAATTGAGTTAAACTCTTTTTCTGAAATTACACAGAGTTATAATGATATCAATTTATATAACATCCATATTGTTGCTAAACTCTTTTCTTGCATATATTTTTGAAATCCACCTCCCAGTTCAGCTTTAACCACATCAAAATGTTGATCCTTGTTACACTTCACATTCTCATATTTCGCATTCTGTTAAAAAAGCCCAAAAAATAAATAGATAGAAAGTTAACAAAACAACAATATTGAAATCACTGAAGTTACGAAAATGACAACATTTCATGCAAGCTTTATCTAAATTATTTTTGAGTTCATTTTTGCATTTCAGGATGTGAACATTTGAGACTTTGGACCATATCATGGATTTTACGACAATACATTTATCAATGCCTCTATGATATGTTTTGCCCATTCACAAAAATACTGACCTTTACCCCATATTGAAGAAACAAGATTTTACCTTATGTTGGAGAAATAAGTTACAAACAGTAATTGTAGGAGTTATGGCCCCTGAAGTGGCCTCTCCTTTTGACAGATTGACCAGATTTTTGTGAAAAAGGAAAAATAAGATGCTTTTGGCACAATGTTTAAATAAAATTGTGGTCCTCCTAAAGACATTGTAATAAATCCTCATAGCTTAGATCACGTTCTCTGTCAATAGCTTCTGATTTTAAAGCAGATATCATTTAGCACAGAAGAAAATGCCCTCACCATATAAACCTATTTCACAATCCTTTCCATCCCCATATAACACTAGATATCACCTCATACCAATGTTCCAGTAAGTAACAAAGTATTACCAAGTAACACAGCATATCACATAGTAACACAGTGTATTACATATTAACACAGAGTATCACATAGTAATACAATGTATAACTATATAACATAGTGTATCACTTAGAAACACAGTGTATTGTTTGGTAACACATTGTATCACATAGTTACATAGTGTGTTCCTTAGCAACCTAGTATATCACTAAATAACATGGTGCATCAGTTGGTAGCAGTGATTCAGTGGGTGACACAATGAATCGCTCTAAAACACAGTAAAATATTGCCCAGAAGCATAGCATAACCTGGACTCAAAGTGAGAAACACTGTGTATTATTCAAATACACAGCTTAAAGCAGTGAAAAAAAAGTTAAAATCTAATATTGCACAGTAAAGTTAGGTATGATACAGACCAGAAGTTGTCAGTGACAGACACCTCATACACAAACTCTGATCCCATTAATCAATTATGTAACCACCCTTCTGTACACAAAACACTGGAACAGGCACAGTCCAGGGTGAGGGTAAAGCATTGCCTTTAAAAATCATACAAATATTATGCGTCTTTACACAGTAGGACAGATTTGGCTTCACAAAATCATAATGTACATGCTGTTTTAAATGTATGTATATATATAATATATATAAATTCTGAAATTTCCTAGATAAAAAAAGTCAGATCATTTATCCATGTAAACCTAATCTAGTACAGCCTTACCAAGGAGTCAACATACACTATATATCCAGATCTCCTGTCTGGGGGCCCCAAAGCAGCCACGCCAGGATACTGTCCTGAGCACTGCTAATACAGTGTAACTCCCTGCCCTCTAGCAATGCTGCTTTCACATTAAATCCACAGTCATTCATCACTAACTCACTGGAAGACTCAGTCTTGTGGTGTGGGGGCAGGGGGAGGGAAGCGACGCTGAACCTCTGGGGATCTCGTAGGCTTCTTCATCACGGGGGGCTTTACTTTTATAGGGGGTTTGGGTTTATCTGCCACAGGGGGTGGGGTCACACCCCCAACGGAGGGAATGCTGTGGGAGAGAGGAAGCACTGGTACTGGGGGTAGGACTGGCACTGGGGCCTGTTTGTTAGCAGCGGTAAGTTCCACTGGTCCATGGTCAGTCAGACTCTTGGAACGGTTTGGGTTTACACTTTTACGCCCTTGTGCAAATGTAGAAAACACTGGCTGATCTGCTAGATATGCAGGGTCAAAAGTTATATTTTCTCCATGGCTACTTGTTACACTAGCACTCATAACGTTACCAACACTGACTGTTGGAGGGTTGATGTTTCGGGGCATGGAGCTCGCCTTTTTGAGTGTACCCTGGTTGGACTGGGCAAACCGGTCCGCGACAGTGTTAGTAGGACTGTCTGGCCCACTGCCTTCCTGGGGTGAAGAGTTGGACCCCTCAGGCAGATCAAGCACGAGATCAGGGGTGTGTTTGGGTGTGGCTTTCTGCTTCACAAGTGGAAGACTCATACGTTTGTCACCGCGTTGCTGCATCTCCAATGATTTGAGTCCTGATACTACCTCGGCCAACGCATTGTCAATGTCAGCACTAATCTCCTCTGTATTGGGGTCGGAAGTTGACTGTTGACGTTTCATCTCTAGGCGCCCATCTCGAGTAATGGACAAGATGGGCGTGTTCTCACAGACACCTGTTGGAGCAGGCTCCTGTGTTGAAGATGATGATGAGCGAGGTGTTGTCTGTGGGGAAGGGGCAGGACTCATCCCTGCTGATGAGGACATGTCTTTAATGGAGATATTAGGCTGTGACACAGACTTCTCCAGAGTAAAGTCCTCACCACCACTTGGTTGTTGATGGCCCCGCCCTGGGAGAGATGACAAGGAAATGGAGCGTTCATCCTCGGAGTGGCTTTTCTTATCTTCTGGTCTGTAAGTAAACAACACAAGTGCTACACTCAAACATAAATGTTTGTTATCCCCAAAATAAAGGCCGTTATTTTCACAGGGCATAATATTAAAATTTTCATTAATAGAAAAAAATTATTAAAGAAAATAATAATCAGTTTCATGACTCTCAAGAAAATTACTTCTTTATTTCAAAATTTTAGTTTAAATGCAAAACATTTAACAATTGCTAAAATATAACCCCAATGTTTATAGTAGTGACTACACCAGAACTATTTTTTGTAAAATAGTTACTGATTTCATTTTAATACTTTTCAGTTGATGAAGTGTCTTCTATTTAATTGACCAAATTTGACTAAAATCAGAAGATTTATCTGTGTTATGAATAAGATTTGGCTTCTAAATATTAGAAATAATATTTTTCATTCTTTAAATATGTTCATAACTGTCATGTGTGGTATAACTATAATTTCCTTCTTATTTTCTTTTCCCTATAACAAAAAGAGTATTTTCTAAATGTTTACATTTTTAGTTTTAAACCAAATTTAGGACGTTTGCATGTTCTTTTTGTATTCATAACTACAAATATAACAGAAATTGTTCTACCACTAACATTTCACTAAAAACGGTCTACTGAACTTGAATATGATTAAAATATTCAACTTCCAAAATAGAGAATTTTTAATTACAAACTACATTATTTGTATTACAATAATAAGCACTATACGTTCACTATATGTGGTAATGACCAATACATTTTTAATGTTTGTTACAATATTACACAGTTATGACATAAAATGTACATGTATACCATAAATCATTAAAAGTTGGTTGAAAATGTCTGACAGGAAAATGATTAGAGGAATGACACAATAAAGGAAATATTTTGAAACAGTACCATGATGATTAGTTCATGCAGTGTGTTGTTTTATAAAGGTTATCATACTAAAGTGGATTTTACGTAGTCAGCCCTCGGGGAGTGTTAAGGGAGTTTGGAAACAAATATAAAACAGGCTTTATTCAGACCTGGTTCCATGCATGTGCGTCTTTATTGTAATCAAACATGTATGACCAGTAATTTCTGATGAGTGAGGTTTATATGATATCTGTATGATTTGATAAAAGTGCTGATCAAATGATTCGCTAAAGGTTCCCTCTTCATACCTTCTGGTCACGATGTCGACAGCAAACGACTATTGGGGTTAGAAATGTGTGGTTAAGACTCTAACATGCTTTCATTTGACTTTGTTAATTACATTATACATATCTAGTGTTGAAGTGCGATTTATTTTGAAATAACTAAACTTTAAAATTTCCTCAGTTAACACTATTTGTTAAACAAAACCATTACAGGCAACCACACTATTACAGGAAACAGCTGCATGCTTCATAAAGAGTAAATGTACCAGGTTTTATCAGTGGAAAAATCTTTTCATAAATTATTAATTTCAAGCAATGGACTTGTTGTTTAAGAATGAATCTTTAAATTATTTTACGAGTTTACCTTACGTAACGTCAGCTCACATTATTAAAATTGCATTTCATCATCACGAAAATGTTTATTTTGTGAAACAAAATCTATTTGTATGTATCGGCCAAATACTGGTATAAAAGTTTTATAAATACATACGGATGTTTAAGAGAGATGTACTTGTCCGGGATCAGGCCCTCCTTCCCGTTAAAGCAGCCCTCCCACCAATCTGTAGACATCTTGTTGTAAATAATCAAGTTATCTCCCTTTTTGAAGGAGAGTTCACGCTCTGTACGTCCAGTGAAATCAAACAGAGCTACAGCTTCAAAGATTTCTGCATCTACAATACAAAAGTAGTACACAATTAAAACTGGTCAAAGTCAATAGAAATTTCTAAATAGGAACACTACTGCATGAAACTCCCTCCTAGAAATGTAACCAAATATTTTCTTTTAGCATACATCAATGTAGAATGTTTTCTCAAAAGATTACTACCAGTATATATATCCCAGTCCTGTATAAAAAAATGATAAAACTTTTGGAAACATGTTTCAACAGTTGTTGTCTCCTTTTGATCAATACATGTATGTAGATAATGTCATCTGCATCATAAGCAATACAAAAACTTAAGATCTTAAAAGATAAACCTTGTGGCAATAACATACAGAGCTGATGAAATACTGATGAACATAGAAAGATCACACATGTATTGAATTATATGTAACAACAATTTATAAGATACATTATCAATAAAATCTGTCATAGATAAACCTAAATCATACAGTGTTATTCCATTAAAGTCTGCTGTAGATAAACCTAAATTATACAGTGTAATTCCATTAAAGTCTGCTGTAGATAAACCTAAATCATACAGTGTAATTCCATTAAAGTCTGCTGTAGATAAACCTAAGTTATGCAGTGTAATTCCACTAAAGTCTGCTGTAGATAAACCTAAGTGAAGCAGTGTAAATCCACTAAAGCCTGCTGTAGATAAACGTTAACTATACAGTGTCATTCCACTAAAGTCTGCTGTAGATAAACCTAAGTTATGCAGTGTAATTCCACTAAAGTCTGCTGTAGATAAACCTAAGTTATGCAGTGTAATTCCACTAAAGTCTGCTGTAGATAAACCTAAGTTATGCAGTGTAATTCCACTAAAGTCTGCTGTAGATAAACCTAAGTTATGCAGTGTAAATCCACTAAAGCCTGCTGTAGATAAACCTTAATTATACAGTGTAATTCCACTAAAGTCTGCTGTAGATAAACCTGAATTATACAGTATAATTCCACTAAAGCCTGCTGTAGATAAACCTAAATCATACAGTGTAATTCCATTAAAGTCTGTTGTAGATAAACCTAAATCATACAGTGTAATTCAACTAAAGTCTGCTGTAGATAAACCTAAATCATACAGTGTAATTCCACTAAAATCTGCTGTAGATAAACCTAAGTTATGCAGTGTAAATCCACTAAAGTCTGTTGTAGATAAACCTAAGTTATGCAGTGTAAATCCACTAAAGCCTGCTGTAGATAAACCTAAATTATACAGTGTAATTCCACTAAAGTCTGCTGTAGATAAACCTAAATTATACAGTGTAATTCCACTAAAGTCTGCCGTAGATAAACCTAAATTATACAGTGTAATTCCACTATTATGCTGTAGATAAACCTTAATTATACAGTGTAATTCCACTAGTCTGCTGTAGATAAACCTAAATTATACAGTGTAATTCCACTAAAGTATGCTGTAGATAGACCTAAATTATACAGTGTAATTCCACTATTATGCTGTAAATCCTGAAATATACAGTGTAATTCGATTGATATCTGCTATAGATAAAGCTGAATTGTACAACGAAATTCCAAACAATGTTTGCTGTTGATCAACCTCAACTATACGGTGTATTTCCACTAAAGTCTGCAGCAGATATCAAGGTTTCCTGCTTTCCATCTCATTCCAAATGCTTGTTGAAGGAAAGATACAGTAACAGGAAATTTTGTTTATCATTTTCTGTAAGGATTAGTCAGAATAAATATTGTAATACTTTATGTAGTTGATGAGTACTTGTATTCCTATAACACAGCCATACACCCACATAAGCATTACGATAGAGCAGTGTGATACAGTGTTACACATCCATCCTTGTGTTTACATGGGAAGCCATGCAGTTGCCTCCCCTTAATCCTGTACAAAGCAGAGCATTAGTAGCAACTATTTACAGCGCATCTTTCACACATTCACTTCAGCTCTCATCTTTACAAATATTAATACACTGTACTCTTATCTTACTATTTAACATAAAAATGGTTTTAAATGAACCAATTTATTAGTTGAGATGATGTTCCAGTACATGCCATTGCAAAGGGAGACAACTTAAAATATCTAATCTAAGGACATCACCTGCTCGGAGGAATTTAATTATTTTAAAAAAAGCATATTCATTTCAAATCAGGGATGACAACATTTAGTTTTCACAACCATTTGGATGCAGTAAACAGATATTAAAATTCTAACTAAATCAAAGCTTTCCATAACAATTTCAGCAAATTAAAATTTAGACAAATTGTGTCTGTGATCTGGATCATTAGACCTAAAGCACCATACATACAGGTTACACAAGCCAACCTTCTTACCCAGCATCTGTACTACAACACTTGACCAAGGTTACCATCAGGGCTCAATGACAACCAACCAAATCCAAATGAGGTTTAGTCACAAGTAATGCAGAGCTTTCATATGTTCTATATTACTGCTCTTCTCTACTTCCGACAAGCCAAAATGTATTTTTATAGATCAATATATAATAACCCATTAAAATTCTAAAGTGAAATTTAGAATTTGTATAATAACTGATTATGACTTGTTAAATGTATTAATTATTTAATTAAGCAGGTTAAGAATGAAAGATCTGCATTGAAACAAAAGACAGATAAATATGCAAATGATGAATAAGTCTTTGGGAGAACTGAAGAGGAGCAGGGAGTCTTACATTCTTACCTAGCGTAGAGCCTGGAAATCAGAAGACAGCAGTCAGGATGCTTATTCTAAACCACACAGGGACCCGTGACCTCAAAGTTATGGCACAGTGACCCATGACCCCAGAGTTACAGCAAAGTGACCCAAGACCCTGAAGTTGTGCACCAATTACTTTTCTTCATTTCAATTTTCATGCATTGGTAATTTAGTTTCAAAAATTATTTTGCAGGTTTTGAATTCAAAAGAGGTATCACAATTGATAACTTTTGTTAAAGTGCAGATAAAATATTCAAAACACATTTTAATTAGCAACTGGTTCTCTCATAGCGGTCAGTTGTAGACTTCTAAGTCTTCATTCATCACAAAGCCAGCATCAGCAGCTACAGCCAAGTGAAAACAACATGCTGAAGAGCATTGAAAATGCTCTTAGCATAAAAATTATCTTGTTCTCTTTGGTGCAAATGTAGGGACTTGGGTACAGGTACAAATCTTAACCTCGATGTAACAGGTAAAGTCACTGTAGGATTGTAGGATTCATATCTCAAACCAAAGCTGTAGGAACATGTTGATATTATTTCCTGGCGGTATGGCAGAGGGAAGTATTGAAGGCGGACATCAGAACCAAGCTGGACTCAGCAGGTAACATATAGCCGATTATTTTCACATGGATGATATTTTCACAAATTTGCAGGGCATATACACAATAGTAAATTACTGAGCAGTACATCATACCAATCAATGTAACTCTAGATGTAATTAAGAATATATGTACTTCAGTTATTTTAATTTATCCAATTTTTCAGCAATAGTAATTGTTCGAAATAGTTGTAGCTTTTATGGATGTATAAACAAGAAGACCAAATCACCAGTATACATGGTGGTACTATAAATGAGAATATTTCAAATTGGTGAAATATTGCAGTTTTTTTCTTCTTTAATACACAACAAGATATAGTTTGAAAGTCAGGGCAACCTGTGAGTCAAATTAAATTCATTACATGCCTCACTTTGAAAAAATCCTACAAATAGACCTGCAAAGATAACCGGCTATACAGAAGTAGGGAGAGGCAAGAAGAAAAGACAGTTTAAAGGAACGGGACCAAGAAATTAGTAATGAATCGCATGATCAAAACCTCATCATATATTTACTTTCAAATTTAATTAAAAGTTTCTTTTCCAACTAATTTTTTGTAAGTCAAGTGGTGATACACATATAGAAGAAATCTTGCTATACAATATCATTACAATCCTCCCACACCTCATAAAATCACTGCCTAGGTGTAACTTTGCTCTTAATCCGTTTTGCAAAATTAATTTATCACACTTCAGTACCAATTAATGCAATGTTTGTTTTTAAATACTCTGTTGTTTCCTCAATTGTAGCAGTAAGTATGTATTCTCCAATATGGTGTGGAAGGACTGCCATAAGAATATCTGAGCATTCCCTCCAACAGGGTTAGACTAAATTAATTGAGCAATGCTCTACAGTGGCGAGATGAACCCTTCTGTGAACAAGACTTATAAGAAGTACAACACAACATCCATCATACATGCCATCTTACCATCATCATCTTCATCCTCATTGCTCCTGATAGAACTTGTTTCATCTTCGTCTTCAGTGACATCATCCGTTGTATCCCTGAGATCAACATAAATCAAGTTTTCACATTGAGACATTTTTTGGTCAAGTTTGAAATACATCCTAGTATTTTTACTTCATTAAAGATATCTGTACTGTATCTTTCCTTATGCATACTTTCTTATGAAAAGTTCATCAATATTTCTGTAACAATGAGTTCTTGTCTCATCATTTACAGGTTCATCAGTTGTTAACCAATCATTAATCAATTCTGACCAGTGTAAACCAGGTCCCAGTATTATTAATCCTTTGTGTTCTCAAACTGATTGGGAGTATTCATTCTCATGTTGTATCAAATATTTGAAAGCTTAGATGTACCCAAAGTGTTTCTATCACACCATACCTTGAAGTCTCCAGGATACACTTTTCATAAACGACGGAGTTTTCGAAGTTTGGGAATATGTCCTCCTGGTGGATAATAATGGTCTTGATGACTTCGTGAACGTTGCTCTGATAGGACACCTGGTCACGATCCGGTGGGATGGGTAGGAGAGTCGGGCCAAAACAAATTGCCAAGTTATAGGCATCCATCATGTTCTCGTCTGAGTACTCCGAGAGACTAAACGGCAAATTGAAAAAATTAGTACCAAAAGAAATAAACAATAAAATATTCACAACTGTTTTTCGTTTTAGGCGACTTCAATTTGCCTGATTTTTATCTCTTATTTACAATTTTTGCAGAAAAATGTTCTCATTTTTTGTGATTTCTCTTCATCTTAGATAGATATCAACATCTTTGTATTAAAATCAGGTAATTTGTGTGTTACTCACTGGTTGAGGAAGGAGAAGAGATACTTCATCACAATCAGGATGCAGCGAGGCAGTGAGGACAATAGTTCTTTAATCTTCTCCCATCTGTGTTGGTCATCAAGCTCTGTAACATATAATGTTTACTTAATTCACAATGTGATCAACTTTAAGTTTTCTTAGTCTGCCTCTAAACTTACTCAATTTCAGAATTCATACAAATCCTCATTTGGTTTTAATGAATTCTGAATAGTTTGAATTAATCTAGCTGTGTATTCTGCACTTAAATTCATTTATTGTGTACATTGGGGGAGATATATTATGTATCTACAGGTAATGGTTTAAGAATCATATCTTATCTATACAGGTAAGAGAGACACAGAACATATTTCGGAGTTTGTTAAATCTTTGACATATAGATGATAACTTACTGCTGCCGTCTATGAGCTCATCAAACAGTGGCAGTGGAAATAGAGGTTCCCTCAGCTCCCTGAAGTACGCCTTCAGCACGCCGGCCACAGAGTTAATGTCACTAGGATCCACGTCAACCAAAGGGTCATGACCTTGGCGAACAGACAGTTAAATGGTTAAAAAGATCAGACAATCATGATGGACAACATACAGTTTTTACAGACATACAGTCATCAACAGACATACATCAAATGGAAGAGTCAGACATATTCTTGATAAACTGAATCATTCTAAATGTGCATATTTTAGCAACAGTCTTATTTCAGTACTTTTTGCCATGAAAGTATTGCCCTAAAATACAATTGTACTAAACACGGTTTCTGCATTTGCTTAGATAATGATTACCTAGATTCAATGATCCGTCACTTCAGTTATTTGCCGAAAACACTAAAATTTCATTGCATCACATAAGAACATTTACTATGTCCACTAGGCAGACAATCTTTAAACCAAGATTTTGAGTTTTCAATGCTTCTTTGTACTCTTAAAATGAAACTTACAAACAAGAGGATAAATTTCTGATATAAAACAATAAAATGTTTTAATCATGTACTTCAGGTTTTAATAGTCAAAACTTGCTTCCGGAACAAATTCTATTAACACAACTAAATAATATTATACAAACTCACCTTTTTCAAATTCTACCTTATGTTCGTTGATTTCTACCTGAGCACCTGAGATACGGAATATACCTTGATGGTGCATACCTGTCAAATCACAACAAAAATACACTTGTTTTTATCACAACTCTATGCAATCCTTTTAATGGAAATAATGTATCACAAAACACATGTCAAATGTTAATAAACAGAGTAATTTTAAACATTGTATAACTGTTAATATCTATATGTACATAGTGGTCTATTCTACATCAAGATTTATTCTATCTTCTACTGTCTAGAGCTGGTTGCCACTTGTTTCTGCCTTAAACAGGCTGTCATCAGGGCACAGCTTACATGATAAACAGTGACTCCACCACCCCTGAATTTCTAATACAAATACTTTGTAAGAAATTGAAAACTATTTCATTGTATACTCTGAAATCATGTATATAAATGGCTAAAGTACTCACCATAAAGGTTGATGGCTCGTATACAGCTCCTGATAATCAGTGGAATATCGTTACCAGTAGCCTGCAAAAAAATAGGTTGATTGTATGATAAATCATATCTAATCAAAGCGACTTATGCCTCCAGAGGACATGAACAGAACATTTTTGTATCATACAAGTCTGAGTATTACCAGAAATCAAGCAAAGAAAAATTATCTCTTTGACACACAACACATTCATCTTTACACATATATCTAACACCCAGTCTCTAACTTACCTCTATATATTCCTCCAGACTGCCCCAGTATGAAATCTCTTAACTCACATCTATATATCCCTCCAGACTGTCCCAATATGAAATCTCTTAACTCACATCTATATATCCCTCCAGACTGTCCCAATATGAAATCTCTTAACTCACATCTATATATATCTCCAGGCTGTCCCAGTATCAAATCTCTAACTCACCTCTATATATCCCTCCAGGCAGTCTCAATATGAAATCTCTTAACTCACATCTATATATTCCTCCTGACTGCCCCAACATCAACTCTCTAACTTACCTCTATATATTCCTCCAGGCTGCCCCAACATTAAATCTCTAACTTACCTCTATATATTCCTCCAGGCTGCCCCCAAACAACTCTCTTAACTCACATCTATATATTCCTCCGACTGCCCCAACTCTTCTCTCTGGCTTTGGTGGTAGTGATATTGGTCGGCTGCCCCAAATTAAGATCTATAATAACTATCAATATTGTTGTCATGTTCCAAATTTCTAATCCTAACAAATTCAGATTTATTCTTCAATTTGACTCCGACCTATCCTTCTCTTCTTTGGCTTTGGTGGTAGTGATGGTGGTCGTCTGCAAAAATCAAGATTATAATAACTATCAATATTGTTGTCATGTTCCAAATTTCTAATCCTAACAAATTCAGATTTATTCTTCAATAAAGTAAGAATGTATGTGTAGGGAATATTATTATCTATCTTTAGAGTGGAGGTTGATGTCTGTTACATCGGATATATCTAAATATACTAGCTTACTGTGACAACCTTGTGACTTTGATGTCATGACCTCATTCCTTTCTAAGGCTTTGTGTCATGAAAGTATTCCCTTACAAGGCTTTGTGTCATGAAAGTATTCCCTTATAAGGCTTTGTGTCATGAAAGTATTCCCTTATAAGGCTTTATGTGATGGCAGCAATCCCTTAGAAGGCTTTGCCTGACAACAGCGATTTATGTCATAACAATGAGAGCAATCCTATGTAAGGATTCTTTTTGATGATGGCAGTGATTTGCAAGTTTCTTTTTTATCAAAATTAGGACTCACCCAGTATTTGACAGATTGTCACCCACAGATTTCTGTATTGCACTTTGTTTGGCCTGGAGTCGTGATATTCTGTTACAGCTTAACGTGTATGAGCGGAATTTCTACAAAGAAACCAATTCATTAATGTAAATCAACATATAGCACAATGAAATTAAACCAACATATGTGACTTTAAATTTGTTCTATAAAGAAAGAAATATAAGTAAAAAATTCTGGTCTAGTTTTAACTGGTGTGAGAATATTGGCTTCACTTGGTATATTATCAGTACATAAATTTATAAATGAAATAATGTTACCAATCTATTAATTCATTTAGATGCATAAACTTTCTTGCTGGAGAGAGAGGTGCTAAGATGTCCTCCCCACTCACATCTAAGTAGAAGCCCTCCACCTCCAGTCTGTCCCCTCGTAGTTTGGCTGCTTCGTGAGGTGAACGCGGTGGTTGATTCTCATCCACAAAGAAACTCGATACATCGTAGTCGGCCACATTAATTTTGTCATTGAGTGATTTCTCTGTTGCTTCAAGCGTCTTCCATGTCTGTAAGACAATATTCTACATTTGAATACATGAATCTAAATAGTACCAGCTCTTGTACATATCTAATTCCATTTCAAAAGTGTAAATATTTTTGCCCTGTTACCATTTCTCCCACCATCATACTCTACCTACCTCGTCATTCTCTAGGCGAAGGTCGACAAGCCGTTCCTGTATTGCACGGTGTCGTTGGAGGATATCATCCTGTACTGGTTTTTGAGCACTGATTTGTTGGACCTGTAAGACAGCACAATAGTGTTCAAATATGATATAGATTTAATATGCAGCAACTGATCCTCATTATATTTATCAAACTTAAATCATCAATTGTGATCATATCTCAAATCTTATCAAAAACAAATTGAAATCTTAATTTTTTTTTTATTTTGTCAAATTAGTATGTTGTTGGTCCTTGATTTTCAGTCTCTCTCTAATGAAAGTACCACTAAAACACTAAATCTCCAGAGGTTCTAAAGTGACTGAACATGACTCTCACAATTTATATTTTTTATAATCACTAGGCAGTTCTAGCCTGAATGATACGGAACAATTTGTTAGTGTAAGGGATGGGACATAACTCTTACGACTCTATGACAATATTAAAAATATTTAAATGAATAATTTATTGAACAAACACAAAATCAGACAACAAAGTGATCACTGCAGTCTTATCTTTTTCTTGATAAACATTACATCAATTTGAGAAAAGGCACATTGCGAGGCACATTTTATTTGGTTATCATTAAAAAGTGTGCACCTATCAACAAAGAATTACAATTAAACAAAGCAAGGTATCTGAAATAAGTAGAGAAATCTACCTCATCTCCTCTACATGGCTGAAATTCAAACTTCTTTGGCAGCATGAATGCAGCATTCTGGAGCTCAATGAATCGCTGTTTGTCGGCCTGGGCATCTAACTCTGCCACACATTTCTGGACGATGTCCACACTCTGTTGGTGGCATCTACTCAGATTCTTGTGAAGATTCTGATACATCAGCATTGAATTCTTCACCGAGTTATGGTATCCAAAGTCCATACACTGTAACAGTAAAAAGATCTAGTTACACTGGCTCATAAACAAGATCTCACACAAACCAGGCCATCAACAACTGTAATGTGTCTTAAAATGAATTAGTCAAGACACAACAAAATACTGTGGATTCATTTATTTTCGTTGGGTTCAATTTTCGTTGTTTCTACAAATTAGACAGTTTCATGGACTCATAAATTCGTGGATTTTTGATTCTGTGGGAAAAAAATAAAAACGTTAGAATTTTCTCTTTTTGCTTCCAGTCGAAATTTTTTCTGTTTGTATTAAGGCTATGTTCACAGGAATTAACACTGATGACAAGAATAAAAGAACGTTTTTTTCCAAGATGGCGTCCTGTGTCTCGCATTAATATCAAACCACAAATCAGTATATATCCAGGCGTGTAATCAATCGGTAATTATCAGAAACAATTGTTTTCAGTGGATAAACATTGTGTGCTGATCAGTCGGTGTACCGCAGTCATATGAAAACACCACGCGTATCGATTGGACCATGTGTGTAAACAGGTGTGTAAACAAGATCTGCAGAAACAATTATGAAGTAAAAACACAACACACTGACGATAGTATAAAGAAATCACAGTGATGAACATATCATTATGTATCTTATCCATCATGTCGTTAACACAGTGGTTAAAATCCGGGAAATTGAATCTGCGAAAGCCTGATGTTCCTGGGCTACCCGACTCCCGACTAATTACGGGGCTTCTGTCATTACCGGTGGACGTTTCCGGTGTCGGCAAAGATTACCTGGTCAAATTCCAAAATTACTTTAGTAAGTAGTTCATATTTCGTTGTGTTTTTAAATTCGTGGATTTGCTCATCCACGAAAACAACGAAAATTGGACCCCCACGAAAGAAAATGAATCCACAGTATCTTCAAACAGATGAACATTCAAACCAGTTTCTTGTATCATAATGTATCAATATTGCCTAGCTACTATCTGATACAATTATTCATGGTGAGTTTTCTGTGGGTATGAAAACTCTGCTGTATCAACAACATTAACATGTTTTATATTGTACCTAACTAGAGTACACAGCTAACCTATATCAAATGTAGGCAAAGTTACCACATTCTGATGAAGCTTCAGACTACCATAGCACTTTTGAGCCTGAATTTACCAAAGTTGAACATTTCGACCATCATACTTACGTCCATAAGATCTGATATGTCGTCAGAAAAGTACTTGTTGATGGCTGCATTGGCTGCTTCTATACACAGAAGGTAGTCGTTCCTTGCTTTCAAGGCCTTCAATTTGTTCTCAGAGTATTTAGATTGTCTCTGGAAATGAGAAATAGAACCTTTAATTAGTACTGGATGCTAATATTTGCCGACCATAAAAAAATATGACCCATAACTCATGATCACTTCTTGATTTAAACAGAACTCACTAAATAAAAGATAATGTATTTTACAGCACATTTTCCAATTTGTTTATTTTTTTTTTTTACAAGTACTTTTTAGTGTGTGAATGATGGTTTTGGTTTTAACAGTTGAACACCACAGAAACACTATCAGAGCATGTGTTTCTACCATCATGTGGTTATCTATTTATAGCTGACACAGCATGCCTGCACTACCAGTGTGAGCAAGTTCATTCCCATAGCCTATGACAGATGAGGTAAAATTGGTCTATTTGTGAAAGTCCTACCCTGGCTCACCCTATCCTGGTATAACCTTACTAAGTGACCTTATCCCCATGATGAAAACGTCACCTTCAATGAGACCTTGCTTTAAGTGTATCCCTCATTTATTACTTAAACACAAGTTTTCCTTATCACAGTCTATAACACTCTAAACTGTCTGAAGTTTCACATAGTTACAAACATTGAATCAGATGACAACAATTTTGGAACTATCTGAATTACTTTTACACGTACAAAGAAAATCAGGTCTTCAGCTGCTCAGATCAACATTCACAAATCTATAATGGACAAGAAAACAATCTGAATCATTCTGCTCATTCAGACACACGTGATTGGCCGACTCACCTTTTCCGTCTGACGGATAAAGCTTTTTAGTTTGCGGTTATTTGAGACATTTTTGCCGGAGAGCTGAAGTTCCAGTTTAGATTTCTGAGTCTCTACAGCCTTGAGTTTGGCCTCTGCCTGTTTACTCTCCGACTGGTATGTGTGATAGGTTTTCATAGCCTGAAATAAAGTTAAAGATCAAATAGCAAGGCCATGTCTAGAAAATCAGCATAAACATTATATGTAAATTAACCTGCATAAAATTTAACATCAATTACACATTTTTTGAATATAAATATATCACCAAGAAAAATCTCACCAGATTTCTTGCAAAAATCATATCAGGCCTTGAGAATGTTGAGTTTGTGGTAATATCTATATTCATATACACATGTAATTTTGTATATAGTATATATCTGACAAATATATGGTATGTACACACTTACATAACTGTTAGGAAGTCATCATAATATTCCACAACATCACAGAAATAAGAGATAGAAGATATAGAACTAAATATTCTGTGTACAAGTCAATAATTTTGAATCATCTGTTTCAATAAACGAAAGAAATTAATCTGGTGATACAGAATACCAGGACCTTGCATGTCTGTGTAAATGATTATTTACCAGATTCAAATTGTGTTAACAAGAAGTCAAGAAAATTACAGCATAACAGGGCAGTAAAAGTTATAAGGGTAGTAATACAGTGGTATAGAGTAAACACAATTAACACAAGAGGCCCATGGGCATTAACGGTCACCTGAGTTCTTTAGGTCTTTGGACATGTTTTAGAACTTGTCCATATCAGTGCCAGCATATGGGCAGACAGAACAGAACTGATATATGCATACTTACAAAATTTTTATTTTTAAAGTTTGAAGGCTTAATTTTTAACTGATAACACTGCCTGTTGTTTGTTATAAATTAGCATATTTGACCCCTGTGACCCTGTGAATGAAGGTCAAGGCATTCATCTGAACAAAATTGGTAGCCCTTCATCTCAGCATGCTACTGGCCCAATATCATGACTCTGGATCATTGTGTTATTGTGAACAAGTTGTTTAAATATTTTCACACATTTGACCATTTGACCTTGAAAATAGGTCAAGGTAATTCATTTGAACACACTTGGTAGCCCTTCATCCCAGCATATCTAGCCCAATACCATGACCCTTGCCCATTTAGTTACTGAGAAGAAGTTGTTTAAATATTTCAACACATTTGACCCCTTTCACTTTCAAAATAGGTCAAGGTCATTCATTTGAACACACATGGTTGTCCTTCATCCCATCAAGCTACTGTCTAAATATCATGACACTGGGTCATTTTGTTATTGAGAACAAGCTTTTTAAAGATTTTTAATAATTTGACCCTATGACCTTGAATGATGTTCAATGTCATTCATTTGAACATTGCTAGACAAAAGACAATCGCAATATCTTACTTGAGACTTCGTCTCAGAAGACCTAACAACAGACAAATTAATCTAGTCCTTTATAATCTGGGTCAGAACCAAAAAAGGATGACTAAGATAGTCAACGACTATGTTATATGCACTATGGTTACAATTCCCTTTACCCTCAAACCAATCTTTTTCCCTTTGTGATGTCATTACATCAGATACCATATCCTGAGGTTGACTCCACTTTTAGTTGATAAGTCAGCTATTGCGTTACAATTACATCATATAGGAATATATAGCTCTCTAGGGGTATAACATGATGGAATGTATTGAACAAGGAGACCATGGGGCAGTATTACTTAGCATGTACAGAAACACAGACTGTATAATCAGGACATAAACATGGACATAAATATCAGAATATAAACATCAGTACAATAACATCAGTACAGAGACAGTGACAGAATCATGGACAGAAACATGGACAGACACCATGGACAGAAACATGGACAGAAACATGGACAGAAACCATGGACAGAAACCATGGACAGAAACATGGACAGAAACCATGGACAGAAACATGGACAGACACCATGGATAGAAACATGGACAGACACCATGGACAGAAACATGGACAGAAACATGGACAGACACCATGGACAGAAACCATGGATAGAAACCATGGACAGAAACATGGACAGAAACCATGGACAGAAACATGGACAGACACCATGGATAGAAACATGGACAGAAACATGGACAGACACCATGGATAGAAACCATGGACAAACACCATGGACACAATGGACAGAAACATGGACAGACACCATGGACAGAAACATGGACAGATACCATGAACAGACACAATGGACAAAAACATGGACTGACACCATGGACAGACACAATGGACAGAAACATGGACAAACACCATGGACAGACACAATGGACAGAAACATGGACAGAAATCATGGACAGACACCATGGACAGAAACATGGACAGAAACATGGACAGACACCATGGACAGAAACATGGACAGAAACCATGGACGGAAAACATGGACAGAAATATTGAGAGAACCCATGGACATAAACATGAACAGAAACAATGGACCGAGAAAATGGACAGAAACATCAGGAAAAACATGAAAGGTGATAATTGTACCATCTAGTGCCAACATTTACACACAATGTACTTGTTTTTAAAGTACATGCATTTGTCTTTCTGAATTTTTTTTTCAACTCTAAAAACTATTTTTCTCACAGAATATGAGCTTTTTTTGCTTCAGCCAATCGATTTCAGGATAAGTACATGCAGAAGCAAATACTGTGACTGCCCTGTAGCTAGACTTGGAGTCTTGCCTCCCTCGACGATACCAGATGGTTGTGTGTGTCTAATTATGTTTTATTGTAAGCTGTATGCATCATGTGTACACATGCACACCACTACTTAATGCACCCTGGTAAACAAAGCTTAATGTCTCACAGCTGACCAGCTCTAAATGTCAGCTATTACAATCCAAGCAAAAGGTTAAAAGGGTCTGCTACTGCCATTGCACTTCCTGCTGATGAAGAAATCTATATGTAACTACAATTTTATTCATAAATAGCAGTGGTTTCAAATGTAGCTTTTTTTTTTAATTTGTTTTTTTTTTGTTTGGTTTTTTTTTTTATTCATTTATTTTTGCTATGTGAAGAAAAAAATATTATCTGGACACTTTGAATTTTTCATGAGTGCACTATCAGTTTTCTGGTTTTGTTTAGCTTGAATTGTATACAAGAGGGCCGTGGCCTTTAACAGTCATCTGACAATCGATGAATGGATGAAAAAACTGCAGATTTGCAGATGGTGGTCGGACAAATCTGATGAATTCTCATGATGATATTTCAGACAACATTTGGTATAAATCCATTCAAGTATTAAGGAAGAATAGTGTTTTGAAGCCAAATCAATGACTGACTTTCACATTTGGGGCCTGCTCCCAGGTCCCTTGGGGTTGAATCAATTTTCTGAATTTAAGAAATGATAACCCACTTGCAATAATGTTTCAGATCAAATTTGGTAGAAATCTACCCAGGCATTAAGAAGAAGTAGCATTTTGAAGCAAAATATTCAAAACTTTCCCTAATGGAGCCCGGTCACTTTGGGGCAAATCAACTTTCTGAATTGAAGAAATGTTTCTTCACCCTCAATGAAGTTCAGGCCAAATTTGGTTGAAATTCATTCAAGCATTAAGGAAGAGTGCCATTTGAAGCAAAATAATGACTAACATCCCCATTTGGGACCCAGCCCTATGTTCCTAGAGATCCTATTAACAATCAAAGAAATGATTCCCTACCAACCATGATGTTTCAGATCAAATCTGAATGGGATCCATTTAAGCATTTGGGAAGAGTAGTGTTTTGAAATGAAATATCCACTAACTTTCCCATTTGAGGCTCCATCCCCTGGTCCCTAGGGGTTGCATGAAATTCCCAAATTTAAGAAATGATCCCCCACCCCAATGATGTCTCAGACCAAACTGAGTTGAAATCCCTCTTGGCGTTAAGCAGGAGTAGTGTTTAAAAGAAAAAGTTTACAGACGGCGAATGACACACAATGCACGGCAACAGACAATGCATGACAGCAGCAGATAAAAGCTGATGCAGAGTTAGAAATTCTAAGTTTCTCATCTAAATATTGGGTAATTGAATAACACTATTTTAACATGGAATGGAAATATTATTTGAGTATTATTCTAAGAGATATGTTTTTATAATGATCAAGAAAAACACATTTATCAAATATCTATCTGTTTGCAACAATTTCAGACAAGCTGACCATCTGAAAAGTTTTGTTGAGCTGTATGTTAAGTTACTTCAAAGATTGCCAGACAATGCACAGATTTCTTGTCAACTTTAGCCTCATATAGTATAAAAGTATCACTGTTTTTTTCACTTTACTGAAATATTTCTACTCTATAAAACTGTTTTTGTATTCAGTTTGACATGTGCAGGGTAAACGCTGAAAGCAATGGGAATTGATGTAATTTTATCTGAGTCCTGACCTCATTTCTACATACTGTACCCTCCCTAATGCATGGACGGTATGGAGAAGTTCTAATATATATATATGTAGATTTATCACTTGTAATTCTGTGTTACTGATCAAAAGTCTATATCATATGTACTAATTCTTTGGAGTTGATCTAGAGCCTACTTTTGTTTCTTTGTTTCTTTTTTTTCCTGCTGAGAGTTTCCTGTGACTGTAAACACCAGACAGATGTACTGTGTAGTAGTAATAGTTTATATAATCATATTACATGTGGATGCCTCTCTGATTACATGTCCTTAAATACATAACTACCACTTCAAAAACATACATTCTGCTACTTCAAATGCATGTTTAACACTGTCAAAACTCTCCAGCTAAGAGTTGTTTTCTACATACATAGGAGAACATCTTTATTAGAAAGGGTAAAACGAGTTTTATCAGCTCTAGTACTTGTCATCAGAGATTTGAAAAACTTGTGACATCCTGATGTTCAAGTGACAGTCTGGTACAGTTTTCAAACTCAAACGTTTTTATATGAATGTAAAACAGATTTATATAGATATATGATAACATTTCTTTAAGAAAACATCCTGATCTACTCACACTTTGTAATTCTGTAAGTGTTTTCATAATGTCCTCATGGCTCTCCACACCAATATCTCGACACTGCAAGATAAACACAATAGTCCTTAAACTGGACAAATCAGACTTTACATACCAAATTTATCCTGCAATGAACCTATGGAGACAAGACCTTACTAGATTCCATACAGATATGTTCAAAAAATACGTCTATGATGTAGGCTTAAATCTAAAAGGTCAAAGGTCACCCACTCTTTGGCTGCGTAGAGACATTGCTGTACTGAGAACTAAAAAGTCACCAACATAAAAGCCATGATGTACAATGCTATTGCCATTTATTAAAGTTTAAAATTCCAGCAATTAAAGTTCTTTCACAAGTTTTTTCAGTGCAATTATAGAAACATGAACTTTTTTAATTTCATAACTCACTATTAAATTGATGCTGTCACATTAATCACATGTTTTCAAATCCAATTGAACTTTAATAAATGTCACTCTTTCATCTATTGTTGAACTTTTCACACACTATTCATCCTATGCCATGTCCTTGACACACATGGATTCCTGTATGTAGGTCCCACCATACTTACAATAATACTGTCCTACACCACAGTGTATGTCCAAACTTCTGGACTTTTGATATGAATACTAACATGGACTTTCCCCTTGTAACAGGACATACATATCAATATACCCATTACACGTTCCTCATCAGAAAAGAAGGGGATCCTTTCACAACATTCCCTGCACCATACAAACCCTATGATAGAGCTACCCATCTGTAAATCTTGTCCCCATCCCTGGAACACACCTACCCTTTTTTAGACCTTGTCCCCATCCCTGGACCACACCTACCCTTTGGTAGATCTTGTCCCCACCCTGGCCCATACCTACCCTGTGGTAGATCTTGTCCACACCCCTGGACTGTACTTATTCTGTGGTAAATCTTGTTCCCACCCCTGGACTTTACCTAACCTGTGGTAGATCTTGTTCCCACCCCTGGACTTTACCTACCCTGTGGTAGATCCTGTCCCCACCCCTGGATCACACCTACCATTTTGTAGATCTTGTTCCCACCCCTGAACATTACCTACCCGATGGTAGTTCTTATCCCCACCCTGGCCCATACCTACCCTTCGGTAGATCCTTTGTGAATTATCTATGATGTGGCCCATTCTCTGGACAAGTTGGTTGTTACAAATTTCACTCATCACTCCATGGTCCCTGCTTTCTTTCTTGGTGATGTCAAGTAACTGTTGCCAACACGACATAGTGGAGAACATGGACCAGTGTTCCCTCCTATAATGCAACAAAAGAACTGAATTAACATGGCACTTCTACATCATTTTAAAACAAAGTATTGACTCACAGATATAATCCATCCAATCCCTGATGTCTAAGCTGTAAATAATGGATACCTGTAACAACTTTCTTAAAACTTTAAAACTGAGAAGTGCAATGTTTAACATGTTAAAAGAAAACCACAAACATTTATTGAGTTATAGAATTTTAATTAGCAGTTGTTAAGTATGACCTCTGACCTGTTCACCTTGATTTAAGACTGCTAAAAATAGATCTATAGGAGAACTTGATGTTGAATATGACCTAAATCTGTTGATGGCTCAAGTGATATTTTGTAAAAGAGACTTTTGATTTAGATGGACAATCTCATCTACATGCCTTACTTGTGTTGTGTGTAGGTATTCATTTCCTCAATTTCGTTAAGAAAAGTATTGATATTTTTTACTTGATAGAAAACTGACAGATAGATCAAATGACAAGTTAAATCATTGACATACAGCAGCAAAAATAAATGATCAACCATTCCTGGCTCTCAAATCCCTTCTGACACAAACATTCATGGTATGGTACCCACATTGTACATGGTACAGTATAAGTGTGACGCTAGCTACAGTCTTTTATTAACATCTTTGTTACAAAATCAATACAAGTAAACCACAAACTATCACCGGGTGTGTTGTACGTTTTAAAATCTTATACACAGTTTACAATGGAGCAGAAAGGGGCATGACATGATAACACAGCTTCCTAAGGTTGAGGTAGGGATGTGACATGTAAAACAGCTTACTAAGGTTGAGGTAGGGGTGTGACATGTAAAACAGCTTACTAAGGTTGAGGTAGGGGTGTGACATGTAAACACAGTTTACTATGGAGGAGATAGAGCTGTGACATGTAAACACAGTTTACTAAGGTCAAGGTAGGGGTGTGCCATAATAACACAGCTTACTAAGGTCGAGGTAGGGGTGTGACATGATAACACAGCTTACTAAGGTTGAGGTAAGGGTTTGACATGTACAGTTTACAATGGAGCAGAAAGGGGTGTGACATGTAAACACAGCTTACTAAGGAGGTGATAGGGGTGTGACATGTAATCACAGTTTACTAAGGAGGTGATAGGGGTGTGACATGATAACACAGCTTACTAAGGTCGAGGTAGGGGTGTGACATGATAACACAGCTTACTAAGGTCGAGGTAAGGGTTTGACATGTACAGTTTACAATGGAGCAGAAAGGGGTGTGACATGTAAACACAGCTTACTAAGGAGGTGATAGGGGTGTGACATGATAACACAGCTTACTAAGGTCGAGGTAGGGGTGTGACATGATAACACAGCTTACTAAGGTCGAGGTAAGGGTTTGACATGTAACACAGTTTACAATGTCGAGGTAAGCGGTGTGACATGTAAACACAGCTTACTAAGGAGGTGATAGGGGTGTGACATGATAACACAGCTTACTAAGGAGGTGATAGCGGTGTGACATGTAATCACAGCTTACTAAGGAGGTGATAGGGGTGTGACATGATAACACAGCTTACTAAGGAGGTGATAGGGGTGTGACATGTAAACACAGCTTACTAAGGAGGTGATAGGGGTGTGACATGTAAACACAGCTTACTAAGGAGGAGATAGGGGTGTGACATGTATGGAGGAGATAGGGGTGTGACATGTATGGAGGAGATAGGAGTGTGACATGTATGGTGGAGATAGGGGTGTGACATGTAAACACAGCTTACTACAGAGGAGATAGAGGTGTGACATGTAAACACAGTTTACAATGGTGGAGATAGGGGTGTGACATGTAAACACAGCTTACTACAGAGGAGACAGAGGTGTGACATGTAAACACAGTTTACAATGGTGGAGACAGGGATGTGACATGTAAACATACCTTACTAAGGTCGAGGTAGGGGTTTGACATGTACATAGTTTACAATGGTGGAGATAGGTTTTTGATATGTTAACATGGTTTACTATGAGAATATAGGGGTGCACATTTCAGTATTAATCACCAGTGTTAGGAGACACATCATAATTATGTCTACTTTATTATTTGTTGTATTCCTCCCTAGTGAGAGAAATTCAACAAAAGATTTTATATCCAGGAAGTCTTTAAAGCTATTCACGAAGGCTAAAAATTGTTTCTTGTTTTATCTGGGGTACTTCCTGTGTGAAAGGTTAAAGGTCACCTACTCTTCTATAGCCTCTATCGATTCTATCTCCATGGAAACCAGCTGCACAAGTGGAGAGATGACAAAGGTTGATAAAGAATGGGGAAAGAAGAAGTCGAAACGTGATAATGAATGTCTTGTTTAATTCCACAGTTTAAATGTTTAGTGTAAGTTCTTGCAGACCAGTATTATTGAGTATAAAGATTAACGAGGATCCACAACATTTCCTATTAATTTTCTATGATAGAGGTTATTTTTTAACAACTTCCCAGGCCAATAAGGATAAGATCACATACATTCCTACCTATATCTGGAAAGATGCTATAAGATTCATTCCTACCTTATTGACTAAATGGGTTTCTATGGTATTTTAACAAAATTTCTCAGTGCTAAATTAATTGGAAGATCACTTAGGTAAACAAAATTCACTCGACACCCCCTCCCCCATCCGTCCATTTTCTGCATTTTTCTGTGATCCTGGCTGATTCTGTCTGAAAGACATGGCTCTGATAGTACCAATACTGTGGGAAAGACTATATAGCTATGGAGAATAATATGTGATAATGGCTTTGTAAGCTGTTTCAATAAGCAGCTATTTTTCGGTGGGATTCACATGTGTAGAGGAGCCAGCTGATGATGGCTATCAATTGATTATGTATTTTGCACCCTACCAGTTCGACCATTGATCTATAGAGCCTGACTGCAGTGAGCCCTGCATGCTCTCTACAAACGCAACACCTTTTTAGATACAGCAATATCTCCACACAATATCTATACTTCAAATAGCTCAACATTAAAAAATAAAACAAAAACAGTCCTCCGGCATCCAGTCAACTCCACCCCCCTCCCCCTTCTGTCCCTCCAACCTCTATTAACTAATAATACATGACTTCAGAGAATTGGCCTGCTCCTGCCTTTACCCTTTATCTGACTAGAGTACCAGCATGGAAAGCACGAAAGGCTTCTGTCAAAGATCATGTAATGTGTTTTACAATTAATAATTCACCAATTTTCCCCGTTAAAATTGGGAATGAAGCTGAATACATGAATTCTAAAATATGAATGCTACTGCTCTCATCTTTTATTCTTTCAGACAATATGAACAGTAATTATCAATAATAGTCTATTCATTCAAATTGAGTAATACTTCCAGTGAAAAAAAATCAGTATGTGTCTGTGTGAGAGTTGTCAGTATTACAAAAACTACATCCAAATGGCTATGGTTACAAAATCTGTATCTAGTATACTTGAATACTATATCTATCCATAAAGACACAGGAGTCTGTATACACCCTACCTATACTGCTGGTATATATCTACTGTCTCACACATAACGCAGATATTTCTAATACTAGACAGCATATTGGTATACACATAAAGATACGTAAGTTACACCATATTGTACTATGCTAAAATACCAATTTTCTGTCTGGACACCTTTTATTGATTGTGTTACTAAGAAGCATGTCCAGACCAATACAGCTCTACTTAGATGATTCATTCCAGACTGAGCTATAGAATCTCTCAATGAAAATCACTGTTACACATGTGAAATAACACAAAAAGTGTAAACTGTTGGAAACCATTTTGTTTTCATATGTGTTGGAATCTTCTCTGCGACCTGTTGATGTTTGTTCTTCTGTCACTGATGATGTCATGTATATAGGTTTTAATGACATACAAAATTGACCTTTGTTACAAGGTCATGACTTTATTTGATCTGTTTTATGTTATGACCTTTGACCTTATTGGCCCTCTGACAGAATTAGTGACTTTGTCGTGTACAGTAAATATTGTATGAAATTAGTGTATAAAAGGTGATAAATTAATGTTTCACTGACATTGTCTCACTAGCATTTAAGAACATATCAGCAAGTTTAACAGTTATTGATATCATAAATAGGGACAGCCTAGATGTGATTATTTTATCAAACTGGGTCTCTTTGCTATACAGAGTTGGGGCCACATGTTGTTATAGGTAAGCAAATGAGACAAAAACAAATTAAACTTAATCAAAGTTAAGAGACATGAACATGGACACTTGGCAGTAAGAGTAACTTATGATGTTCATTTTCAATCCACTCTCTGTAGTGTTTACCATCAATGTGAATGCACTGACCACAAGAAGAGATGATTGTGTCACTAAAATCCAAAACATATCAATAGGCCTACGCATATGGTCCAAATTGTAGAACAATAACAGAATGGGTTCAGTCACTAAACAGAATTCCTTTTTCTTTTAAATCAACTATTAGAACTACCTGCCATTTAAAACTGACCGAAGTTTACCATACCTTCAATCCAAACAGCCCAGCCCAAATTCAGCACTTAGATAAAGACCTTTCTGAAATGATGCCAGGAAACTTACTTTTGTTTCTCCTGTTTGTGACGAAACTTGGTGGATTTGACCAGTTTATCCAGACTCCTGGAATACTCCATTTCTACCTCTGCCTTTTTCCGGAAGAAATCTTGTATCTCTGTCACCATGGCAACTTGAATTTCTAGTCTGTTTTCTAGGCATCTTAGCTGTTCGTTTAACTGGTTACGGATATCTGTAAATACAAAAGACATCATCCATTAAATAACCAATTAAATTTTCTTTTGTGCAAGTATCCTTTTCATCTCATGACGAATTGAAAAATTGTGATACAAATTTAGGATGTAGCCTATCACAGATGAGTGAAAAATTTGGAAGAAAACATGAAGCAATATTGACCTGCCTATTGTTCTTAGTGAATAGTACATGCTATACATGTAAATCATAACTACACCAATTAACAATCACTAATCGCAAGCTTAATAGCCTAACAGAGTACACAAACAGCAAGCACCTTTTCTTGTCTGGAAAAGGACAGTACTTAGATCAGAAACAATAGTAGTGAAAATATTCCAAACCATACTGAACTGGCTCACAAATAGGCAGTATAATATTTCATGTGATCCGTAATGTTAAATCAACACTCCACAATGTCAGACCAACTGTCATGTTCACTCCTCACATAACATGGGCGTTAATGGTCAGGAACATGGGACAACAATGGGACAAAGTGGTCAGGGATACCGTAGAACAAGGTCAAAACAATCCAGAGGTTAAAACAAACATGTGCTAATAACAAGTCTGCTGGTTGAGACAATTTAGGGTTAAACACAATGATATAATATAGATTTCAAGACTTTCATTAATCTTATATATATCTGATCAGCATTATATTAAAAGTATTATTGAGAGTATATTCTGCACCAACGGAACAAATTGAACATATCTCACCTTTCCTATAAACATATTAAACACATCTAGTACTGAAAAGAATATCCTTACACACACAATTTCTATTTCCCAAAATTAGAATATGTGGTTTCCTTACAGATTCGTGAGCCCCTGTCCAATTCCCTTGGTCTACACACAGCTCGGAGTACATGAATGGTACACATCTTCTCCACGACTCAAAGTTATGTATGCTATAAAGTTGGTGTTTTTTTCAAAATTCCGCATAAAATTTTCTTCTATCACTTTAGCCTTTCACAACAGACTCTTCACGATTATATCAAGAATCTCCAAAAACTGGAATGGCTCCATGAATCAACACGGACGTCACAATCAGGAGAAAAATAGCACAAGTATCACAATCGTAAAATGGATAGAGATTGACCCTTAACAAGGGGTCAGCCAACTTCAGGGCAATCTCAGTCTTCCCTGACCCCTATGTGTTGTTTTCTGCTTTTGTTCTAATTGCCAGAGATCCAATTGAGGAAAACAATTGGTACTTTACCCGTGAAATCTTACTATCAGGTCTTTCTTACAATGAGAGCCTGTGTGAAACTTCAACATGTGAAGCCGAGAATTTAACTTGACACGGATGTAGATGAGGGAAGTGTTTAAGTCTAAACACCTGAACAGCGGCAGGTTAGGTAACTTGGAAAGCTGTGCATGCCAGAAAAACTGTTTTTATTTAAAGTTTGTCTTGAATTTGTTATAGAGTACAGATATTAACAACATACACCAAAATGCTGTGTTTGGGTGAGTCACCAATATAATAAACCTTTATATACAGGAGTAATTCTAGTCCTGGGGAGGGGGGATACATCTATATACCTACAGGCTAGGTTATAAAACAAGGCAAACCCCTTCTTTTTAACTGTGACTTGGAAAAAAACAAAGACCACATGCAAGAGGCCATTTAGTAAATTGTTATCATTAAGATCATTAAAATGTAGTTATTCTTGAAAAATAACAAGACAAGCAGTGGCTAACATAAATATAGTACCCTCATTTACTGATCAGGAAAATGGTATACGTGATTAGAGACCATAAAAAATACCTTGAACTTTGACCCTTGAACCTGATAACCTACTGTAAAATCATATATAATTGTGGGAGTCAATATCAGTGGTTTTTTTTTTATGTTTTCTTTGTTTAACTTACGCAATTTCATGGTTACTTTATGGAAAAATATAGTCTGATTAATCTATTAAATAAATTCAACAGTTATGGACATACAAATTCCTGGATTAAAGAGTCCTTGTGAAATCAATGGAAGTAAACCCCTCACAATAATCAATGATTGTAAGGTGTCAATGTGAAGATAATCTGCCTAAGATACAAACATACCTTGTACAACAGATTTCTGATTTCAATATTGGTCAAGTGGAACATTAAAAATTAAAACCTAATTGATGACCAGCAAAATGTTGGGTTGAACTTGATGCTGCAATACTAGATATGAACTACCGTTACTCTGACCCATATAACTCGTCCAAGGGGCTGAATCATTTTAAATTGAAAGGGGATTTAATTAGGACTATTCTTGACGAGATCAGAATCGTTTGTGATAGATACGTACACTAGTTCATCAAGGCTGGCAGTAAAATCATTGATCAGTGATGATTATTAGTATCCTTCTGTTGCTGGGGGACCAAATTTGCTTAAATACATATTCTAAAACCATCTCGATTGTGCATAAAAGTGAGTACCAAAACTTAGTGTTGTGTTAGAAGCATATAAGTGGGGAGATTCTAGGAACATCTAGTAAATCTGCTGGAATGATGAGTTCATGAGATATCTTGCACACAACTCTTTTTCAAATTCAGATGCAGACAAAAAGTAATTACTATACCTCCAACCTGTCCTTGTACTTGGTGGGAGGTACAAATTACACAAGATACTCAGCCTTTTTGCCTGCCATAGCAATATACCAAATCATTAACTAAAATCGCTTATCATCATGGTTCTTTCGTTACTTCAAAATTATTATTCTGGGTATTTAAAATATTCATTACAGGACTGCATGATGAAAAGCAGCCCAAAGAGAGTTATCTTAATACAAACTTCAATACAAACAGGTCCTTTACAACAAAACTTGAGCAGCAGTTATTACTTATCAGGAATGTACGGAGTATCAAAGAGCTCCATTTGAAGGACAAACTACAAATCAGAAGAAACCTTTAGAAAATTACATATACTTCAGTATTACTGTATTTTACCGCAAATTAGCCCCCCCACCCCCCACCCAGTTCATAAAAGACTTGTCAAAAGAGGGGAGGGGGCTTATTTGCGGTCAACCCCCTTGTTCACGAGATATACGTGTGTCCCCCATCTTACACCTGGCAATTAAATGTAAGTAGTGCTCTATCGTCAGATGTGTTGTTTTTTTTTCAAAAAAAAAGGATGGGGGGTGGGGGGGGCTTAATTGCGAATACCCCCCCTATTCCTGGCAAATTGGAAAAAGTGGTGGGGGAGGGGGGCCTATTTGCAGAAGGGGGCTTATTTGCGGTGAAATACCGTAGTGTACATATCTAAATATCTAAGATGAAAAGGATTTATTTGTCATTAAATGTCACCGTTATGTCTCATCTGTGAAGGTTTTCTGAAAAAAAAACTTGATATATCTTGTACATAATGTACATGAATATACAATATATATATATCATTGTAACCTGCTACATCTGTTGTATGTTGAACATGTGTGACCTTGTTATACACCTAGGTATGTCCAATAGTATGAAATATTGAATCTTGACTACAGATACCGGAAAGCAGTGGTGTAGTACCACAGACCACAGATGTACAATGTAACCAAGTCTTTGTAGGAACAGACTGTCATTAGAAGTACTGAAACTGGTAAGGGTTATCAATCACAACACCAACAAGGTGGCTGTAATATATAGATTGAGGACACCTTACCCTGATGCTGTTGTGATTGATAACCCTGTTTCTGTGCTACTGCTCAATCACCTTGCATACCTGTGGGTATATCGCTACAGGGTAAAGGCCATTTAACTTCACTCATGTACAAACAAACTGTGTTGGATATTCTTCCCACATTCGGAGAAGTAATGAGAGTACCCAGCAGGTAAAAAAAAACAAAAACATACCAGCCTAATGTTGGATGTGTAAATGTGGATTGAGAGTAGGATACCAGCTTCATTCAAGTACAAGCTTCACTCATTATTAGTTTCACTCAAGACAAGCCTCACTTAAAACAAGACTCACTTGAGTACCAGTATGATACAAGCTTGGAAATGAATCCATTATGCAATTGTAACATTTCAGTGCAATCTCATCAAACAGGGCCTAATTAAAGCAGTACATCTTCACAGAGCTGCAGCTTCAATACATCAGTCAAGCGCTACACACATCTGCTCACCTGTAACAAGACTGTCAGCCCACCTGTATTCTACTCTTCTACTGTGCAATTGTTTTTATGTGTAATTTGTATTAACCTACCTGCCAGACAAACGGAGACATGATTTACAATTACTGTTACAGCTAAGACTGTCATATTGTTTTCTCTCAGCTTGTTCTATATGTGTAATGAAATATTTTGTTTACATTAATAAACGACAATTATGTTCTTAAGATACAAATGCATTAATTACAGGCATTGATATATGTTTGAGTATAGGGATACTTGAATACCCAGGAGTGAGATTAGACAGTGTTGTCAGAATACCCAGAGGTGGAATAAGACAGGGTTGTCAGAATACAAAGGGGTGAGATAAGACAGGGTTGCTGATGTACCCAGGGGTGAGATTAGACAGGGTTGTTGGAATAACCAGGGGTGAGATTAGACAGGGTTGTTGGAATACCCAGGGGCGAGATTAGACAGGGTTGTCAGAATACCCAGGGGTAAGATTAGACAGGGTTGTCAGAATACCAAGGGGTGAAATATGAAAGGGTTGTCAGAATACCCAGGGATGAAATAAGACAGGGTTGTCAGAATACCCAGGGGTGAGATTAGACAGGGTTGCTGATGTACCCAGGGGCGAGATAAGACAGGATTGTTGGAATACCAAGGGGTGAGATTAGACAGGGTTGTTGGAATACCCAGGGGTGAGATTAGACAGGGTTGTCAGAATACCAAGGGGTGAAATAAGACAGGGTTATCAGAATACCATGGGGTGAGATTAGACAGGGTTGTCAGAATACCCAGGGGTGAAATAAGACAAAGTTGTCAGAATACCAAGGGTTGAAATCAGACAGGGTTGTCAGAATACCCAGGGGTGAGATTAGACAGAATGTTGGAATACTCAGGGGTGAGATTAGACAGGGGTTATCTGAAAATACCCAAAAGAGAGATAAGACTGGGTTGTTGGAATATCCAGAGGTGATATTAGACAGGGTTGTCAGAATACCAAGGGATGAGATTAGACAGGGTTGTTAGAATACCCAGGGGTGAGATAAGACTGGGTTGCTGATGTACCCTGGGATGACATTAGACAGGGTTGTTGAAATACCCAGGGTGGGATTAGACAGGGTTGTTGGAATACCCAGGGGTGAGATTAGACAGGGTTGTTGGAATACCAAGGGGTGAGATTAGACAGGGTTGTTGGAATACCCAGGGGTGAGATTAGACAGGGTTGTTGGGTTACCAAGGGGTGAGATTAGACAGGGTTGTTGGAATACCCAGGGGTGAGATTAGACAGGGTCGTTGAAGTACCCTTTGGTCTTTAAATTAACTATAGTATGCTCTTACATGTTATGAATCATTACATTAATTCATATCTTGAATTTCCTGTTTAGTGCTACCTGTACATGTATAAGTGCTAACCATATCCTTAAGGCCTTAACATAATCATACACACATAATGAATTCACACCTGGTCAGTAATACCAGTCAGGAGATACCTACAAACTATACAAGTAGGTTAAAAGTTCAGAAGAGAAAGAAGGTATATTGTACCTGTGATATGATGGTACATCTGTATGTGTATTTGGCCATGTGGCCATTGTTGTCAAATCTACCTGTAAATAAAGTATGCACTTATCGTGTTATATATAACAACATATGGGTAAACAAATCTGCCTGAATTATGAATAACTTGCAACACTTTACAGATAACAGATGCACCTTGGATGAAATGGGAACTGACCCAAGTGTTCTGTACCTACCCCAGACTCTGTGACCAATAGGCATGAAGTCCTCCATGGGCCTGGTACAGGCAAAAAGGGAGTATCTCTGTTTGGTGGGCATGTTGAGGTTATGAAGACTGCCCAGTGGACCTAGGACCATGTGTATTGGGTTACTGACCGCACATCTATTTACAGATCCTGGTTAATTTCATTGCCAGTCTAAGTTGTTAATTACAGGTAGTTAGAAGATTGGTTGACCTGGGGTATATATAGATACACACTGTACTCAGAGATCTGTGTATTACATCCCCAGTCACATATGGTCAAATCTCCAGGTAGTGGTCAGTGGGAGGGCCCAAGGCCACAGGTCAGTTTGAACTAATGGTCAAGGATCACTTTAACTTATATAATGTATAAAACACTTCACAAACAGAAAAGCTCCTTCTGTTGGTAACTTAAGCTCTAACTGTTTATGTGAAGAAGTCATGTGATGTAATTCCACAGATGTTTGAAATGAAATTCAGCACAGTTTTCTCCATTAAGGAAATATTTATAGCTTAAAGCTTTCCTTGTCTAACTCAATGTCCACTAGCCTAACTTGATGTCGTGTTCTTTCACAGAGGGGCCATGTACTTCTGTGCTAAGGCAGTGTTTACATAGTCCAAGAATAACAATGGCCCAAGTTGGTCCAAGTAGACTCTACGACAGATAAACTATGCACAGCCAAGTATCCATAAAGTTTCCTCAGATTGTTGTCACACAATATCATCAGAATATCATAAAATCTCACACAGATCACAGATTGTATCCCTCCATCTGTGGCCCAGTTATGACAAGAGTAAGATAACAATGGTAGAATGTTGACAGCCTGATGACAATGGACATCCAGGGGTACCAGCAGTAGCACACAATGACTGGATACAACAAACCAGTCCTAAAGGGTCGGCCTCATAAATGTAAGGACTGAAGTGAAATATCACTGCCTTCTGCAGCCGACTGAGATGTGAACCTAGACAGCTGTACAGCCAGTATATATGGCTGCCACTGGCATAGATGTATCTATAGATATGGGGTCCTTCTAAACCTACTTCTTTGGATCACATATCTAATATTAGTACCCAAACATATACCAGGCATACCCTCAAAAAGTTAGAGCTCACTAGGGTGTCCACACTTCCTACTGCATGAAATACACCAATAATTACAACACCTCTTCACAGTCAGTATAGCCTAAAGGATCAGGTGCTCAATACATGAATTAGCAGTGTAGAAACAGGTGCTTGATACACGAACCAGCATAAAGGACTTATATTGTTCTTAAGCTAATTGATGACACAAATCTGAACTATGTTCAGTGGACTAATTGACACAACTTCTGAATTTATCACAAACATCTGATGTTTTCACATAATGCATCACATCCAGTCCTGGTTTTGTATGATTTATGAATAAAAAACTGGGCAATAAAAGCAAATTTTTATACCGTTACAATCCTTGGGAACAGTATTTCTGAAATGCCCTCTGTATACAAAAGAACAGTTGAACAAGTTTGTTCAGCTTTATGGTATGAAATATTCATGCTTAAGTCGCCCAAGTGTGGAGTGCAGGCCGCATGTCAACAGGTTCTGTCATCACAGTCAATTCATTAATAAATAGAGAGTATTGTAGTCACAGCCGTTTGAAGTCTGTGTACAGAATGCTTAAAACTTGCCGTGCTTAGATCTTTACTACACTGTGGTTAACGAAAGTCAAACTAAACACAGTAGTTTTAATCCATAGAAAAACTTCTCTCAAATCCTTTTCTATTGTAAGGACCATGTGCGGGGATTAGGTAGGAATGTACACAAGCCCTGATGATTTACATTTGTCCAATGAACACCAATACACCAGCCCTTGTCCTCCTGTACTGCACTGTAGCTGATGCAGAAAGGCTTTCACAACAATTTTACACCTAAACTGAGTCACAGAACTTCCTTAGCTCCTGGGGTAAACTTGAGCTAAAATGTTTTTATAGCAGTGATTAGATCCTCCACACTTAGTGTATGTTTAGACTATCAATCGGTGAGGTCTCCTGTTTCTGTTTACAATAATATGAAGATCTTGGGACAGACTCCTTTCACAGCTGTGATACAGCCTCATCTGTTGTCCCCTCAGCCTGAAACAGTCTCACTACAGCAATGTCCCTCTTCACAAAGAAATGATCTCCTACACAGATGCTAACAAATGTATTTTGAGAGACAATTCTAGACGTGTGTTCTTCTATGCCAAAGAATTTTACAAATATTGGTCAGAATGCCATACACCAGATCATATAACAGCTTGCACGTGCAGATACAGTGTTTTCTCATGAACTACACCATCTGGCTCAACTCTATATCCAAGCTTATTAGTTTTTATCTTATCCGAAAATGCACAAGCCTAATTCCAGCCCCACGTCATGCACATATCAAATCTGTTGGATCAGTGAGATACCAGATGACAAAGTTTGGCCAGATGATGGAAGGCGGAGCTGTCAATCCAGACACTTTCCCAGTATCTCTTCCATCATCAACAAATGACTGGTTCATCCAATTATCACATCTTGTTTTTCTCCCATAGTATCTGTATGATAAACTTGTTTACAAACAAAGAAAGGATGAAGCTCATGCTGAAGACATTCAGTCCATCACTAGAGTAAAGTTATCATTGAAAGATTTGTTGACTAAACCTATAAAATCATGTCTGCGTCATTAGTCTTTCCATTGACTAGTCTGAGTAGAGGTATCCATAACCACGGTCTTTTTACAGGTAGATTCAGTTATTTAAGGTGGGGGCTGGTGTATGTACATATAGGATTGGACATAGGAATCAAAACAATGTAAAGTAGCAGTATTGATTTTTGTGGCAGACTAGAAGACCAGTTGTGTGTGAATCTGTCCAAAACCATCAATAAAGGTCTTCACATCAGAAATGAAGGCCACACTCATCATTCCCTAATCTTATTTATAAGTTTTATTTCTTCCAAGTGTATATTTTTTCATAATCCAGTTCAGTTAGTGTTAAATGATAGGGCTGTATCTCTTCCTTATAAAACCACAATCTATCAACACATCATCCACTGACTGAAAGCTTTTCTGAGACCCAGATTTCACAGGAAGCTGTAGAGAATATTACTGTCAATCATCGAAGAACACATGCATCACAAAGATATCAGAAAATCACCATTCATGTGCAAAATCATTCCTTATCGCCAGTTTTCCACAAATATGTCACATTTAGGATTCAAAATATTTCCTGTCAATGCTCTAAAGTTCTGATGATAGAAATATTTTGTGGATTATCTGTAGATCATACAGATGTCCTTGTAAAATGTCAATGTAGATGTCCTCATATATCAGATCACATCACATACTTGATCTTTCCTGGTCAACTCCAACACACTTTCGTGATGGACACACCTTCCAATCAGGTTTCATCTTCATTGTCAGATGTCTATTCTTCATCCAAGCTTTCAATGGCCACAGAACTTGGAATTGGAGGCGTTCCTGTTATCATTCTTGGATACAACACTCTAACACACGCACACACATACATAGCTGTGCAGGAGTATTGCGTACACAACCATTCACTGATCAATACTATATTTTGTCTGTCTTCTCTGTAACTATGGAGAAGCCTTGCCTCTACTCACCACCATGCTGAAGCTTATATTGACAAAACTAAGTAGGAGTAAATCTCCCATTTCAGCTATTAAGTGTAAATTCCATTACCAATGACAACTGCAACATATACCTGTGTATAAACAGTCTAGACCTCTGTCCTGTAGAATGTCCCTGTATAACACAGGCTAAAACTCACCCTTTATATTACAGAACAAATGTATCAACTTCAATATACGCCCCTATATAATTGAGAGTAAAATTTCATTCTACATTCATCATAGTATTGTGTGTATAACATGTATCAACATTGAGTCTGGAAGGATATCCCTAGTAATTATAACAGTACATGCGGTCAGGAAGAATGTTGATTCAGAAAGTTTTATAAATACATGTAGTGTAGGAACATTTTAAACTTCACGAAGGTATTTTTATTTTTTTCTTCAGAAAATCACTTAGAAATAGTATAATTTACAAACAAGAGATCCCAGAGGGATCTTGTCACCAACCATTGTTTGATCTTTAGTTGTTATTTAAAAGTTTGATCTTTTTCCTTCTTTTCTCCTGTTTCACACTCTTAAAGACATAAATTTGAATATTCTTTAGCAGAAAGAGCTATAATAGTATTTAAATGCCAAAACCAAGATGGTCACCTTTTAGTCATTTTGTTTTTCTGATTTCCAAAATCGAAAGGGTGAAGTAGTGATCAAGGAAAAGTTACACATGAAAATTGAGAGAGATCCATCCTGTAATTCTCATGTAATAGCAATAACAAACTTTCTTTGTCAAAATCCAAGATGGCCACCAGTCAGTCATTTTGTTTTTGTGTTCAGTCCCAAATCAACTAGGGACCAAGGGGAACCTGCAAGTGAAAACTAAGGCTGATCCGTCCACTATGTCTGAAGAAATAGAGATGAAAATTGTTAACGCACAAACCATGGACCATGGATAAAGGATGATATGAACAGCCCACTGACTAATGATGATGGGCTAAAAAAAGTACACAGCACAACATCCACAATACTGTTGTATAACCTATTAATCAATACATTAAAATCAAAATTGACCCCATGCATGACTGATCACTGACGTATTGTACAAATTTGATTATTTTGATGTTCCCGATAATTTGAACTTTGCTAATATCCTGAACAGCTGGTCTAGTATAGCCACTTTAGAGTATTTCTTTGTGTAATACTTTAGTGATGATGACAATTATAAAGATGACACGGTCTCCATGGACACCAAATTGAGAATGATGTAGTGCTCAGGATTTGTCCGAAGGACATCCATCATTTACAAGCTAGTATGAGGCCATGGAAATGGTGTGAGGAGACAATGTGCCTTAAATCCAATCACACAATGGCCGTCATTAATTCACTAATTCCACTAACTTCATTAATGATCAGCATTTTCCTCGGGTGAAGGTGATATGTTATTGGGTCAGTTGTCACAGATACAGAAATCTCTGTTCAATGCTGATGAATGAGATAACAATGCTGTGAACATTTCTGTTGAGAATATGAAATAGAACACGGTATCCACTGTAAAAGTGAGAAATCATTAAATACCACACCACACCAATTTTATTTTCAAACTCAAATCCTTTTTCTGCCATTCTTTCAATGTTAAAAGATGCAGATGCTGAGTATCAGATTTAATATTGGTTAATTTTTGGTCAAATTTTACATCAAATACTCTAGAAGTTGGTTCCTTGAACATTCCAGTACTGAAGGGAGATACACCGATAACCTTCATTGGATAAACCATGCCACACAAAATGTGAATGAATCGACACCAAGCCATAATAATATGAAGTCTCTGTCTAGGTCTTGGAATCTAACATCACATTTTAAAACTACCATTTGCTTTATGTAGCCATTAAACAAGGGAGTCTGAGCGCCAAACTAGCTAAATGACTCAAAGTTCTGATCAGGAAGCAGAAAATAATTGGTAACGTCATATATATGAAGATAGTATCACCTA